CTCAGCAAACTGTCTTTTTTTTTCTTCCTTACCTTTCATCAACACAGGAGGATCCAGATGCAGCCCCACCTATACCAGACAGGTCCCGCTTGCTGGAGTCATTGTCTCTGGAGGAAGAGGTTGGAGATGAAGGAACTATTTACTCAGCCGTGAAGAAGCTTCCTTTAGATAAAAGGAGCTTGGGAAAATCAAAAGAGGGGGGCAGAAATTTTGGGGACACTAAGGCAAAGGAACCTGTAGGATTGGGCCAAGGTCATAACTCTCCTTGCCAAAGGAAGAAAGGAGCCATCTTTGGATTGGCCAAGCAATCAGACACACCATTCACCATAAAAGTGAACCCTGCAGAGACAGCTCAACCAGCCATAATTTATTCTAGGATTGCCTTAGACCAACCCAAAAACTTTTGGATGTCTGCTGAGCCCCACAGTCATCAGTCCACCTTTCCATTGTCCAAGAAATCAGCCGTTCCTAATTACCCGCCTTCAAAATTATCTCCTACGTTGCTGAATAAATCAAAAAATTCGGTGGAGTTCCACGACTCTCCTCTTGGGATCAACACGGGGTCGGTGGTCAACAAAGAACATGGGCAACTAAACCAGCCCAAATTCTTGTCTGAACTCCCAAAGGAACGCATGGATGAGAAGATCCAACCATCTATCTTATGGACGGACAACACAACTAATACCCAGGAATCGTTCAGGTGGGCAAAAGGTATCTTCCTTGCCTCAGAAAAACCTCCCAAGGTTTCCCTGACCAGGTCCAAAGGGTCTTATGATCAAATCGCCAGAAAGTTTGGTCATGTCTCCAAGATTCAGATCAACCCTGAGAGTACATATGAAAAAATACCTGATCCTTACTCTCAACGTTCCTCAACCACAAGTCAAGCTGCATCTCTGGAGGACCCCTACGAGCAAATTCCCTACCTGCCAGGGAAAAGAATAGAAGGAAAGGTCGCCCAAAAGGTACTGTAACCTTGAATATTCATCCCTTGTTAAGGGGGCATGGCTCATAAATAGGAGAGTTTCTTTTTGGGTGGGACATAATAGGGGCCAACCCTGATGATAAGTCTTCTTTGGTTTCAGAGAACTCAGTGAGCAGATGATGGATACAGTCAATTAAAAAAGGGTTATCTCGGTTTAATATCCAAAATCCAGGGAGGGTAGGGTAGGGTAGGGTAGAAAGAAGGAAGGAAGGAAGGAAGGAAGGAAGGAAGGAAGGAAGGAAGGAAGGAAGGAAGGAAGGAAGGAGAGGGAGAGGGAAGGTAGATGGATCAGTCAGTAGGTGGATGGAATGGAAGGATGGATGGAATGGAATGGAATGGATGGATGGATGGACGGACGGATGGAATGGAAAAATGGATGGATGGATGGAATGGAAGGGGATGGATGGATGGATGGGAAGGAAGGAAGGATGATGGAAGGGTGGATGGATGGATGGATGGAATGGAATGGAAGGGTGGATGGATGGATGGAAGGAAGGATGGAATGGATGGATGGAATGGAAGGATGGCTGTCTGGATAGAATGGTTGGATGGATGGATGAAATGGAAGGGTGGATGGATGGATGGAATGGAAAAATGGATGGGTGGGTGGGTGGATGGAACAACTTACAGAGAGACAGAATCTCCTAAATTTGGGGGGGGGCGACCCCATAGAGCATCCAAGCATATGGGGAGCCTTCCAACCAGTAACGTTCAGAGTTTTCATCTAGCAAGGAATGTTCAGAACTGCATTTTCTGGGAAGGGTCTTTCTGAAATGACCCCTCTGATCAGCATCCCTCTATTTCCCCGGCAGAGTGAGAAGCCCAGGAGGTTCCTCTTCGCAGAGAAGAAGGCTAAGTCCTGAAGGCACCGATTTGAACCCAAACTCTTTTCCCAAGGCCACCACTCAAGGACCAGAGGCAAAGTTGCGATGGAAAACAACCCGCCGGGATGTCTCAGACCCCCATTTTTGGACGAAAGCCGTGCCCAGTCTTTGGGTCACTTCTTCCTGCCTGCCAGGGGCTACACACCTTGGTGGCCTCTGTTAGGGAGCTTGGAAGTTGAACATGAAGTTAGATTGGGTAGAGAGGCAAAGACTGTGCAGAGGAGTATGGATTGAATGAGGTCCCCAAGGTACTGTAGTCCTCGACTTACGACCACAACTGAGCCCAACATTTCTGTAGCTAAGTGAGACATTTGTTAAGTGAGTTCTACCACCTTTCTTGTCACAGCTGTTAAGGGAATCCCTGCGGTTGTGTTAAGTGAGTCACATGGTTGTTAAGGGAATCTGGCTTCCCCGTTGACTTTGCTCATCAGGTCGCAAAAGGGGATCGCGTGACCCTCCGGGAAACTGCAACCGTCATAAATATGAGTCAGTTGGCAAATCAGTGCCCCCCATGGGATGCTGCAATGGTCCTGGGTGTGAAAAACCAGTCATAAGTCACTTTTTTCGGTGCCGGTCACTAAATGAATTGTTGCAAGTCAAGGACTGCTTGTACAGGTGGGTGAAGTCCCCAAGGTTTGCACAGCTACCATGTTTCCCCGAAAATAAGACCCCGTCTTACGTTTTTTTGAACCCTGAAATAAGCGCTTGGCTTTATTGCCATGCGCTCAGAAGCCCCATTGGGCTTATTATCAGGGGAGGTCTTATTTTGGGGGAAACAGAGTAGTCCTTCACCTACAACCATCCATTTAGTGACCGTTCGAAATCACAACAGCCCTGGAAAAAGTGACCTAGGATTTGTACTTACGACCTTCGCCGTATCCCCATCGTTACCCGTCAAAATAGGGGTGCTTGGCCACCAACATAAGATTGAGGAGGGTTGCAGCATCCTGGGTTACCTGATTCCCCATTCGTGACCTTTCCAGACTGCTTCCGACATGCGAAATCCGGGGGGGGGGGGGGGAGCCAGATTTGCTTAATGACCGTGTGATTCACTTAACAACAGCGGTGACAAAGGTCATAAAACCGAGCGTGACTCGCTGAACCACCGCCTTGCTTAGTAATGGAAATTCTGATCCCCAATTGTGGCCGTAAGTCGAGGACTACCATCTGGGATAAGTTGGGAAGGGAGAACGTTTAGCGGTGAATTTTTCCAGGAAGTGGTTCGTTTCCTAGAAACCGTAAGAAGAGGAATTATGACTCTCGTGAGTCGAGGAGAGTTCTTCCATTCCTCCTTTCCCGTATAATGATTTTTTTAGACACGATTAAACAGAAGTCCTGTCTCAGCAGTCTTTTGAGGGTGGGGAGGTGACTGGAGGTCTTCTCAGAAGCCAAAATAAATCTTGAGAGGCTTTGTCCTTGACTCCCTTCTCCGCTGTCTGGTTTGCCCCCATCCTCTTCGCCATGACATTCAAGGGAGATTAATCAGAAGAAAAGCAAAAAAAGCAAAAAGATTTTATTCTGTTGAAAAAAAGGAAAAAGATCCACTTGCCTTTTTTTCTTTTTAAATCCCTAATGACTCGATTCATTTCCATCCCTGCAGGGTGAACGAAGGGTTATCCGGAAGTCCCATTCTTCTTTTCCCCTCTTTCAATTAGGGAAATTGACTTCCGTGTCCTGCTTTAAGGCTTTCCAAGCGGAGTTAATAATCTCGGCTTCGCTATTTATTTACTTCCAAGTAAACAGACTTTTGGCTGCCTGTTGGCACTCAGGGTTTCTATCTGGAAGAACCGATGCTGGTTAAATCAGAATTTGTTCGCCTTAAAAGATGGAAACAGCCAGTGTTCTTAGTAAAGGTCCTTCTTGCCTTATGCCCACAATTGGGACCAGAATTTCCAGTTGCTAAACAAGTGGCTGTTGAGTCAATTTTACAACTTTTTTTGCCAAGTTGTTAATAACAATAGCAATAGCCCTTAGACTTATATACCGCTTCACAGTGCTTTCCATTCCTCTCTAAGCGGTTTACAGAGTCAGCCTCTTGCCCCCAACAATTTTGGATCCTCGTTTTACCCATCTCGGAAGGACGGAAGGCTGAGTCAACCTTGAGCCGATCAAGATCGAACTGCTGACAGTGGAGCAAAGTCAGCCTGCAATTCTGCATTCTAACCACTGGAAAGGAAGGGAGGGAGGGAGGGAGGGAGGGAGGGAGGAAGGAAGGAAGGAAGGAAGGAAGGAAGGGAACTTAGACATATATACCGCTTCACAGTGCTTTTACAGCCCTCTCTAAGTGGTTTACAGAGTCAGAATATTTGCCCCCAACAATCTGGGTCCTCATTTTACCCACCTCGGAAGGATGAAAGGCTGAGTCAACCTTGTGCCAGTGAGAATCGAACTGCTGGCAGTCGGCAGAATTAGCCTGCAATACTGCACTCTAACCACTGTGTCACCATGGCTCTTAAACAAATCACTCTAGTTATTAAGGGAGCCATCTGGTTATTAAGTGAATCTGTCTTCCCCCATTGGGTTATCAGAAGCCAGCTGAGAAGGTCACAAATCTTTACTTGCCTTCATTTGATTTTTGGATCTTAAATTGGATAAACTATTTTTAAAAAATAATAATATTGTAACACTGTAAATATTGTAGTTCTATTGTTATTTGCTGCCTGATCCCATAAATAAACGGCAGTACCCAGAAATTCTGGGGAGACCACTAACACCTCCCCCCCCCTTTTTTTTGGCCACAGTACTAAACAGATTTAGCAAATTTTGGAAAAATTGTGTGAATCTAAATGGCTCCTTTCCCTCAAAGCAAAAAAAAAAAAATCCCTGCCTTTTTTGCATGGCTTCATCTAGGCTTAAAATCAGTGAAGAATAATGATGATGATAATCGCCACAAACAACAAGTTTTTTCTTAGCTCCGCTTCTCTCCTTTCTAACTCTTTTTAATCATGATTGTATCACGGTTTGAATTAATGATTGTCTTATTTCCTTCCTGTTTTGACTGGCTTGCTCGACGCCGCCCAGGGTCGTTTTCCGTGAGACGGGTGGCCAAATGAATCGGATTAATAAAATAAAATAAAACAAAACAACCAGAGCCTTTCCTTTCAAAGGTGAATCGAAAGAAAAACCATCCTACGTCAGTAAAACTGGCCGACGTTTTAATTCTGGATAATTTACAGAAGCCACACAATAGGTAGCAAAGCCCTTCCAGGAGATTGTGTGAAAAACGGTGGTAAGATATGATTGTCATCATGCCTAGTTGATTAGCCAAGAACCCAAACTGAAAAGAGAAGAAAAAAAAAAGAAGTACGAAATGCAGCTGGTTTCGGAGAAAAGAGAAATACACGGCGGTCACGCATCCAACGAGGAAGATTGCGTTGGCAAAAGGTGTCGGTTGTGTGTTTTGTGTTCCCCTTTGTTTACGTCCTTTGTTTTCGTCCGTTTCGTTTATTTTTTGCAATCGGTCAGCTTAATGCAATCAGGATATGAAGAGAGGCATATCCCGTTTGGGAAAGGCATTGATTTGCTAATGCAAAATGCCCTTTGGGAGGCAGGAGAAACGAGGAGGAAATATTTCAAGTTTCATTAAGGAGGAAAGCCTTCACCCAACGTCCGGTGGATGAAGAGCCTCGTTCTCGGCACCGGCGGTTTTCTTCTGCTGCACGAGTCCAGCGGAGGGAGGGAGGGAGGGAGGGAGGGAGGGGGTGTCGCCTGGTTTTAAACCAGGGAACCTCCTTCTCTTGGGAGTTCCAGTGCTTCGGTTTGATCAAGTCCTTTCGGGGAGATTCAACATCTCGGTGAAAGTTGCCCTTGGGATTTTGTCTTCTTTTTGCTCAAGAGGGCTAGTATAGACACGTATAAAAACGACAAGAGAACAACCACACGGACGACTCGGTGGTGGCCCAGTTTTAAAAAAATAGTAGTCCAGCAAGGTGTGTCCCACAAGGTGAACAGGCCCATTTGTGGGATGTTGTTGTTTTTAAAAACAAAAACCAAGTTAGTAATAATAATAATAATCTGGGGATATTCCAAAGATCTTGGGAAATAGTCCTGCATCTGTTGAGCCAGGATTCGGCAATTCCTTTGCTGCAGCATCCAGGAAAGAAGGAGGGGGAAGCCAGGAAGACGTCAGCCAGCCTGGCTTCCGGTGGCTCAGCCCCATGGGTTTCAGATTCGTATGTGGAAGGTGCTGTGAAGGAAATGGGAGGGGAAGAAGAAAGCAGGAGAAGGAAGGAGAAGGATGTCAAACAGGAAGGAAAGAAGGAAGAAGTAAGGGAGGGAGGGAGAAAGGAAGGAAGAAAAAAGGGAGGGAGGGGGGAATGGAGAGAGGAAGGAAGGAAAGAAGGGAGGGAGGGAGAGAGGGAGGAAGGAAGGAAGGAAGGAAGGAGAGAGAGAAGGAGGGAGAAGGAACAAACAATATGAGAACAGCTAAATTGAGATCCACACATCTTAAAGTTGCTAAAACAAACGCTGGTCTAGACTGACAAACTTCACCAAAGCACATTTCATACGAAGCAAAGTTGGCATCTTGCCCAAACACCACTTCTTCAATCGACTTGAATGGCCTGTGGAGTGAACTTGCCTCTTTGGATGTTCCACTATCCTACAGACCTGTGTGCGTGTGTGTGTGAGAGAGTTTCAGCTTCCACAATGATTTATAGAAAACCATTTCCTGCGAAAATGCAGCCAGCCTGGTAGAACGGAACACTTAGCTCCTGCCAGCTGGGAGTGCTAATGGGGCCATTAAAATGCCCAGGGCTTCAAAATGATCACATTTTTTTTTTTTAAAAAAAGGGAAACGATCCCACAAGGAACACATTTTCAGAATCTGTAAGTGCTTCTGCCATTGCCTGGAAGTTTGGGCCTTTGGGATTTAGTACCGGTGGAAGTCATTCCTGGGGTTCGGTCAGATATTGCTAGTGGTTCTCAGAAAAAAATTCCTTTCCAATTATCTCTTTCCTTTCAAACTAAGAGACAAGTTTGTCCTCGACTTGAGTCAAGAAAATGCTACCCTCAATTCCCACAGGAGGAAAATGATCTCCTGGACAGACACAGGTTTTCCAAGCCCAGCCAAGTCGTCTTCTGATCATCTCTAACCTATTCAAATCTGACCCCAGGCCTTGAAACCAGAGTTCAACCTCAGCAAGATCTGTGGACTTCAATTTCCAGAATTCCCCCAACCAACCATACTAGCTTGGGGAATTCTGGGAGTTGAGGTCCACACACTTTAAAGTTGCCAAGGTTGAGGAACACTGCAAAGGGTCCTTCCCCACCCCCTCCCAAGTTTTTTATTTTTTATTTTTTACAAATACATCAATGCGTGAACAGTGTGGCACCTGGGTGTCATACATTCTAATGCAAATAAAACGAATGGCTTTAGTCATAGTTATTACTTTCAGTCCAATTTATACGTTTCTAATAATGATACATATTTATATAAAATTACAATCTATCATTATTCCATTATTCCACGTTTTCTCTTATTATTACTCTTATTTTATTATATAAAGGTGTATACACTAATATTCCCCTTTTCTCTTAATTCTATCTCTTATTTTAACTTTAAATCATGTCATCCTTTGTTAAAAAAACATTTTCTTTCTATCCTACCTAACTTCTAATCATGTCAGCTACCTACAAAAAAAGGAGAAAGGAAAGAGAGAGGAAAAGCAAAGCAAAGCAAAACAACACCAAAAACAAAAAATTATCTATCCATCATCTCTTACCCGCTTCAACACTTTCGTTGCTATGCTATTTTTTTCTTTTTGACTTGTCTCCCATATTTCTTTCTAAAATTTTTATCTCTTTCTACATCTTGGCTGGAGGAACAATGCAAAGGATCCTTGATCGATGGTGGACATGCTCATACCTGAGAAAATCTGGAGCTTTGGAAATCATGTTTTCGAAATCTGAAAATCCAAGCTTCCCATCTCCATCCATGTCGGCTTCTTCGATGACCTTCTCACACACCAGGCTAACCTCCTCCTCAGTCAGCTCTTCCTTAGTCAACTTGTTCAGAGTTTGCTCCAGGTCAGATTTGCAAATGAAGTTGTCGGTGTTAAAATCTAGGCAGGCAAAGACAGGAAAGAAAGAGGTGGGTCAGGACGTCACTTTGTTGCCCTCAACTTGGCTGGGACTATGGCTCCCATACCCTGCACTGCAGTCAATGGGATATGGAGTTACTGGGTTTTTTTTTTAGGGCTCTCTGTATATCTTCACAAAAACTAGTAGATGGGGTAGAATTTTTCTACCTGGGCCAAATATCTAATATTTGAGGGGCCACCACAAAGAAGAGAGGGTCAACCTATTCTCCAAAGCACCTGAAGTCAGGATAAGAAGCAACGGATGGAAACTAATCAAGGAGGGAAGCAACCTAAAACTAAGGAGAAATTTCCTGAGAGTTTGAACAATTAATCAGTGGAAAAGCTTGATTCCAGAAGCTGTGGACGCTCCAACTCTGGAGGTTTTAAGGAGAGATTGGACAACCATTCGTCTGAAATGGTACAGGGTCTCTTGCTTGAGCAAGTGGTTGGATTAGAAGACCTCCAAGGTCCCTTCCAACACTATTATTCTATTACTGATTGATGTTTTCCAAACTCCCAATAAATTTGATAGGTGGAAAAATATGTGTTCCGACCAAGCTCCCCAAACACGGTAAACCTTCTGAAGTTAACTCAAAGATTCCTTTATTTGGAGCGCCAGCAGTCCTGGCAAAAAGGTTCTCTCTCACCGCAGGCTAACAAGTCCAGCCAGCCGGAAGATGAATAAGTTGTCTGCCACATCTATTCATCTCCGCCCCCTGCCTTCTATCCCCAAAACTTGGGTGGTGCCTCGTTAGCAGCAGTGGCTCTTCCGTCCCAAGGACCGGCCCATAGATTTCCACTGCTCTCCTCTCCTCTGCCTTCTGCGCATCACCACATCAGGCACTGGATCCAGCTGTTCCTCCTCTTCCTCATCAGCCAATCCAGACCTGGGGACTGTTGACTCTCCATCTGAGGGCTGACGGATGGCCGCAACAATATGTATTGATTTATTTCATGTGGCTTGGATATCTAAACTTCAACCAACCCTATCAACCCTCCATTCCTTATCTCCTGGTTGGAATCTACCAAACATCTGGAGAAGGTGTGTTTCTTCCTCTCTTCTATCTCTGAAGCTCAATCATGAATCCAGCAAGTGAACAATAGGCTGGCGATTAAAAGGCCAGCACTGAACATTTGTTTTATTGTGTTTCGCTCAATAAGCAGAATTACCATCAGTTCTATTTAATTAGAAACAGGCCGAATGACATTTAGCAGGTTTGCGTATGGACAGTAAATCTGTCGAGGCAGATTTATTGGGGAAAAGGTCTGGCATCTGACAGGTCTTTCCTGCCATGAAGGAAATAAATCACATCCTTCCTTTTTCTTTCTAAAGGTTTTGGGCCTCGTAGCCCTCCAGAAACGGTGTGGTGAAAAGCAGATATTAAAAATTAAATTGACGTTGAAGGATGGCTTTGCTGAAGGAGTTTGGGGAAGTGGGTGAGTTGGTCATACCGGTAGCTACCAGAGACAATTAAGACAAATAGATTTCCACTTGTTCCATAAAATGCAAAATACTGGATGAGAGATTCACAGAATCACCACACCTCCAAGAGAAAGACATGCACTGTGGCTGAGAATTTTCAGCTGCTTATCAAGGTAGACCAGGTCTGGGAATTCTGGGAGTTGAAGTCCACCCCACTTGAAGTTGTCAAAGTTGAGAAACCCCTAACCTGCTATTATTCCACTCCTTGGCATAAATCTTTAAAAGATCTTAAAAATCTTGCTGAGAATTAGCTGCTTCTCATAAGCATACCAAGAGTATTCTTCTAACCCAGAGTTTCTCAACCTTGGCAACTTTATGTTGGCGGACTTCAACTCCCAGAATTCCTCAGCCAGCACGCTTTAAACTGGGTGGACTTCGACTCCCAGAATCCCTCAGCCAGCACGCTTTAAATTGGGTGGACTTTGACTCCCAGAATTCTCCAATCAGCTGTTTCCCCCACCCTGTTATTTTTCTTACCGTAAATCTTAAAGGCATAGATTGCTTTTAGTTCCCGGGGAGCCATTTCACTAAGTACAGAAAACATGTCGACAAAATCATTAAAGCTGAGACTTCCTTCCGGGTCTTCTGAGAAAGAATGGACAATCCGCTGCCTGAAGGGATTTTCCTGCAGAGAGAGACAACGTGTTAGCTCCCTCCATATTTTTTTTTTTTTTAAAAAAAACTAACATAATAGAAATCAAGGCTGCACAAGCTTAAATGATTATTCAGAAGGCATTATTTAGAAGGCAAAGAAGCATGAGTCTTTTGAAAGAAGCTGTGTGTCTTCTTTTTAGGCTCCTGTGTGAGTCTGAAGAAATGATTGCAGCTGCTTCAATGAGCCTGTTCAAGAAAGCAAATGGGTCCTTAATGCGACTCATCAAAGCAGCTGCATCTTTTTGTACCCATACCCAATCCTTTCCAGATTTTGCAGTGCATTTCGTGAACAAGCATACAAACACATCTTTTTTAAAAAAGGTGGGGGCACCAAATATATTGTACAAGAGAAAACTGTGGGTTAAAAATACAAAAAACTTAAGAAAGCCATTGCAAAAATGGTTCCTTAGAACAGGGGTCTCCAACCTTGGGAACTTTAAGACTTCTGGACTTCAACTACCAGAATTCGGCAGCCAGCTTTGCTTTTAAGAAGTCTATATCAAACAAACAAGCTGGGTGAATTTAAAAAAAAAAACATAAAATAAAATAAAGTCGTATCAATTTAAATTTGAACCAGCAAGAAGCTGGGGTTAAAGTTGGGAAATTGACAGTGTGCCTCAGACAGGAGCAAAGCGTGCGAATGGCTTTCTACAGACATTGTGTCTTCTCTCCCGTCGTTCCCAAAGGAGAACCTGAGATGAAGCGAAAGATAGATCTGCCCAGAGATATAACATCTCAGGGGCCGAAACAGTCTCTCCCATTTCTGGACTTCTCCACTGCTACCCATCGGTGTCTCTTACAACAGACTGCATTACCACTGGATCCAGTTACTCTGATGGCAGTCTGCAGACGGATCCACTCAACACCTTCGGAAGCAGGGAATGGATCAAAATATATATATATCTATCCCTGTGCATTTCTGCTGGGAAAGGCAGACCCTCACAGATATAAGCCATCTTTGGACTCCTTTTATTGAATCTATGACACCCTCTTCCATTTCAATCAAGTGGTGGTGGTGGAAATGGTAAACTGGAAATCATGTCATCAGGAAGAGATATGGAAGGCTTTTTCCCAAAGCTTTAAGATAGCATAGGATAGGATAGGATAGGATAGGATAGGATAGGATAGGATAGGATAGGATAGGATAGGATAGGATAGGATAGAATTAGAATTAGAATTAGAATTAGAATTAGAATTAGAAAAGAATAGAAATAGAAATAGAAATAGAAATAGAAATAGAAATAGAAATAGAAATAGAAATAAATAGAAATAGAAATAATAGAAATAGAAGGGAAGGGAAGGGAAGGGAAGGGAAGGGAAGGGAAGGGAAGGGAAGGGAAATCTTTATTGGCCAAGTGTGATTGGACAGACAAGGAATTTGTCTTCGGTGCATAAGCTCTCAGTGTACATGAAAAATACATTCAACAAGAATCATAAGATACAGCACTTAGTGATAGTCATAGGATACTAAATAAACAATCAAATCATATTAAGAAACTAAATAAAACAATATAAATCGTAAGGATACAAGCAACAAGGTTATAGTCATAAGTGGGAGGAGATAGGTAATAGGAAGGATGAGAAGAATAATAACTAAGAACTAAGCTGAGTCTTAGTAAATAGTTTGACGGGTTTTTTTGTGATTGTGCTGCATGAAAGGTTGGTTTTTGCAACAGAAAATATTATGGGAATCTGCTGTGATTTCACTTTGTTTCCTGTTGGAACCAAGAGTTGTTAAAATAGGGAAGATGCTTTTAATTAGCTCTGGAGACGAATGATCTATGGACCCAATTTGAGGTTGACAACTCCATTTGGAGCTGCTGTCCATGGTCCTACTTTAATCCTGAAGTCTCCTGGGGCTTCCCCAGAGTGGTGACCAAGCAGAGAAGGAGCTCCCATCTTCACTAGAATTGCAAGAAGGTCCTGAGCAGGGGTGGACAATTATGGCCGCTTTACGACCTGTGGACCTCAACTCTCAGAATTCCTGAACCAGCATGGCTGGCTCAGGAATTCTGGGAGTTGAAGTCCAAAGATTGTAAAGTTGCTCACTCCTGGTCTTGAAGATGAAATCCAGTCTCTCCATTAACTAACATGTGGTTGCGGTCTGAACCCTATTTTCCAATCGGTTAAAATAATGGCATGAAGTTTGGACTTTCAGAGGTGTCTTCAAGATATGGTCAAAACATTTAAGGTACACATGCACATTCAAAATTCTGTTTTTACCGGCATTGTTTCAATGACATCATTATGGGCCACCTTTTTCTGATAACAACCTGGAGACACAGCTGCCTTTTTCCATGTGGAGACCCCAACTAGTTCAGTGAACTCAATAGCAAAAACCAGCTCGTTCAGAACTTCCTATCACCGTTCTATTCTTTACGACCAACTGCTGGCGTCGGTTTTTTTTTTTTTCAACCTTGGGAACTCGAAAATGTATGGACTTCAACTCTCATGCTGACTCTGTTTTCCCTCCCAGACGTTTTCTAGAAGACATTAGCAATTACATTAATTCTTCTGCTTTTTTAGGGCAACTCAATCCCAAGAATTGGCCTTCTGGTCTCCTGTTCCCTGCTGTTGATCTCTCTGTGAATATATGAAGTTACAAGGCTATAGATATAGTGTAAACCAATCCCCCTTAGGGGTGAAAACAGGTCAAAGCCACTAAGGAGCATGGCCAGATAGAAGCTAGGCCAAGGGTTATCTTGCACAAGGGTTCCTCCAGCGTGGAGGAAAAGAGGAAGTCAAAAAGGAGTACCCCAAAAGCAAAATAGTCAAATAAAGACCAACAACAACAAAAGAATTCAATTATGGAGAATTTGGTGCTTTCTGAGCTTGGTTGTTTTCTTTCAGACATTTCACTACCGAACTAGGTAACATCATCCGTGCTAATGAATGTCAGGTTTGCTCCCTGTTTATATATAGCAACTTGCCCTGTCCACGTTGGTGGGATGTGGTTTTCTCCCCTTGGAAATTGGTTAGGGTATTGTTTTCTGCTCAGTTATTTGTCTGGTGTTAATTCCTGTTTATCTGGGCGCCGGTTACTGCAGACGATGTGTTCTGGCTTTCCACCCCCTCTTCTTAGCTCTTTTATTAGCTCTTTTCAATGGCATGTAAATGTGATTTATCTCTACGTGTGGATGGCTGATGGATTTTCTTCTATTGGGAGAATTCAATTAGCCAAAAAAAAAAAAAAAAGAAAAATCAATACTCTACTGAAAAAGAGATATGTAACATTCTTGCCGGGCAATAAAAACCAACTGTTTAGGGCAAATGGTTTAGTGTAAAATCTATTCGTGCTCATTATTATGGTCTGTTCCCATCCCAATTTGCTTTGCAAAGGCAGAGAAAGAATTTGAGCTTATCAGTACCACGGCCATCCGTATAGAAAGCTATCCATGTCGATGTTTACGAGCCCGTCATCTCAATGCAGAGGTCTTAATGGGAGAATTTTATATCTTTAAAGCAAGAGACCAGATTTTTGCAGACACATCTGTAAAACCTGCGAATTTTACAGCCTTCTCTGCTTCCCGCCCCCAAAGATTTTATAGGCTGGAAAATATCAATAAGAAATAAGGCTGAACTCGCCCTGCCATACCTTTAATTCCGGCATGTTTTCTATGAGCTGCAGAGGGAGCTTAACATCTGGATTCTTGGTGTAATCCATGGGAACCATGTTCGGTGCCAATTCGTGATAGCGGCCATGCAACCTGTAAGGAAACAGATCACAGCTACGGATCAAGAAGATGGTACTTAGGTAAGGTTTGGTTCCCAGCTTCCAGAAGTGTCATCAGCCTTCCCATGAGCTGATTTTTTTTTTTTGCTCCTTCTGGCCACCCCGGGAAGATCTGGCACCAAAACTGTGATTTCCCGCCAGGTTAATGGAATGCTTGGGACCCCAAACAGGCTGCATGTGAAACTAAGTCTCGGATTCTCCTTTTCAAAACGAGAGAAAAACTTTTCTTGGAAACCCAAAAAAAATGAACATCAGTGGTACAGAAGTCACAACTCTGCCGCCCCTACATGACATTTGGGACCCCCTGGGAGCCTGGGAGGCCAGGAAAAAATAATAATAATAACCCTACATTTTGGGGGAATTGCTATGAGACTTGGTCCAAGAAATAAGGTCGGATTGCAGACATATTGATTTTCCTGGTGTTGATGATTCTAAGCTCCCTGTTCTGCCAGCCTCGTCCAGGTTAAAGTTTTGCCCCGGAGACATCATAAAAAGTTGCTTCGATACGAAAAAAAACCTGGGGAAGTATCAACCTGCTTTTCCCATCCCGCCTTCCGCTGACACATTTTGTTCTCTTAAAAGTATCCCTCTCTGAAAGAACTCCGAGTCCTGCAGCCTTGGCTGGACCAGAATAAATTATGGTCCTCTCTGGTTTTACCTTTCAGGTACACTGCACACAACAGGGACATCTCTGCTAGGGTGAGGAAAGGAGAGAAAAAACAAAACAAAAAAAAAACCCCTCGGATTCCTAAAGAGAGCCCACCCTGGACTCGTGAATTCAAATAAACACGAATGGATTATTGACTTTTCAGCTGAGATGATGGGTTTGGAATTGGAAGAGGATAATGATCTTCTCAAGAGAAATACAAATAATAGCTTTAGTTCATTAAGCCTGGAGATCGTAGTTTTCTATCAAGTCAGCGCACACACACACACACACACACAAACGGTTTTGTTCTAAGCAGCAGCATAATTTTTGCAGCCGAATTGTAATTAGTCCTCTGTGGAATTTACCAGAGGCATAAATATGGCAGAAAGAATGGCAGGGTGAAAGATCAGGCGGCTTCTTGCACTTGTTGTACAAGACATCGTATCTTTTCCTTCTCTGGGAACAGATTAGTGTTTGGAATGGGCTGATCTCATCAAAATAGCCGTGACTGTTTTGGGAAATTGTAAAGTAAAGGAAGCAACCGATTGTAGAGTAGGAAACTGGTCTCATTGGGAAAACGTTAGTCCATATACTAGATACACCTGCATTTGACCAGACAAAACCCAGGTAACGAATCTGTTCCCTTCCTAGAATCCTCTCTCTTTTCCTAACAGTCATAATTTGGGTCAGGTGAGCCGGCGTTTGAATAAATGCGCCAGCCCTGGAGGCCCTCTTTTTCTCTGGATCTTCAGGGCTGCCACACTTAGTGCTGTGGGAAACTGGGAGGGGGGGATTGCCTGGAGTTGCAGGGATATCTAGCCAAAATAACATTCTTTTCTCTGAGAGTCAAGGACATCCTGCCCTGCACCTGGAGTGGTGTGACTGGGAGGCATCTCCAGTTGGGACGGTGCATTGATTGGATCATGTGATGGGACACGTGGGTGGAGAAGGAAGGGACTTGGACTTTCTTTTGGGTGAGGAAAACCTGGAAGCTTTCAGGTTCGGGTTTTCCCAGATGTGCCAATATGACATCTCTAATAAAATGGAACTTTGAGGAATTTCTAGCCTGAGTCTTCTTTGGTTTTGGGGAGGGTGTTACTTGGACCTCTGACAAAATGGACCTGTCTAAATTTAGTTGAAGGACCCATCAGGCAGTTTGCATAAAGCATGGCAGTTAGCTTGTTTCAGCCGAAATCAACGGAATGAAAATAATAGTAATAATAATAATAATGAATAGGGAGGACTTTGTTTTTATCCATGGGCTCATCCCAGATGTTTTCTTGAGTTTGCCCACAATTCTGGCCTGTGACTTTCTCAGAACTTGGGAGGAGAAGCACAACAGACCTCCGAAACAGCCCCTGTTCATTTGCGGTTCACCTGTACCCTTTACGTTCAAGGTAGGAAAGCTTCTTCTAATTCCTTGTCCCCCCAAGGAAGGACTTGAGCAACATCTGGCGCCTCTTCCTGGACAAACCTGGAGGGTGGAAGAAGGTGCGTGTTCTGCTTACCTGAGGATCTCCTTTCGCGTGAAGAAGGTGCAATCCTGTAGGAGAACAGAAAGAGAAAAGGGAAATGAGGTTTCCCCATTGCAGGGGATCTGCTGAGGAGAAGACCTCTTCATGTGCTGCAGAGGAGGAGGCCTCTGGCTTGAGCAAGGGGCTGGACTAGAGTGCCAGTTATTAAGACAGGTTCTTTTCCTGCCTACGGAGTGGCTGATGGGCTCAGGAGTCCCTCCAGGCTCGATTGGGTGGCTGAATAAAGCTATACAGAGAATGCAGGGAGATGGTTTCTCTCGTCCTTCTAGAGATGAAAGAATAACAGAGTTGGGAGGGACCTTGGAGGTCTTCTAGTCCAACCCTCCACTCAATCAGGAGATCCTACCCCATTCCAGGCAAGTGGCTGCCCAATCTCTTCTTGAAAACCTCCAGCGATGGAGCACCCACAACTTCTGGAGGCAAGTCCAGATTCATTGTCCTCACAGTCAGCAAGTCTCTCCTTAGTTCTAAATTGGTTCTTTCCTAGATTAGTTTCCCGTTTCTTCAACGGGGCTTTGGAGAATAGGTTCACTCCCCCTCCCCTCTCTTCTTTGTGGCAACCCCTAAAATATTGGGACCCTGCTGGAGAACCCTGCAAGAGAAACAAGCCAGGATCCCTCCCCTGAATTTGCACAGCCTTGCACCGCTCGGGCAGGAGGGTGTCAGTGGCCCTTTGCAAAAGGAAGCACAGGAAACAAAGAAATGCTGGTTAAACCCCCTACACACACACACGGACACACACACACACACACCAGGAGCTTTCTTTTTTCCTCGTGTAATTATATCAGCCAGGATCGGTGGCCAAGATCGTTACTTAACCAGAAGCGAAGTCCGAGGCTGGGCCGGGCAACGGTAATCCAAACTTACAAGGGAGAAGAAAAACTGAGCCCTCCCTCCCACCCAGAGTCCTGTTTCCAAGCTCCATTAAGCTGAAAGCCTTTTCGGCCTTCCGGAGCCAAACCTTGGAGGCCAGCACCGTATTCGGCAGCCTCCGCTGTGCCTGTACATGGAAGCTCTACTTTTAGCCCCGTTTCTCGGCTGGGAATGGTTTTGAAAGCATCCCTGTTTATTGCAGGCTAATGGCTTCGGATCGACCTGTTCCGAGGGAAATGGCCTGGGAGTTCAGTTTGCTTGCAAGCAAAATTAGCATTATTAGCATCAAGAGAGAGAGAGAGAGAGAGAGAGAATAAACTAACTAATAGACTAAACTGTTAAAGTAAACCAATCCAATCCAATCCAAACCCAAACCAATAAATAAAATAATAAAATAAAATAATAAAATAATAATAAAATAAAATAAAATAAAATAAAATAATAAAATAAGGTACGTCAAAGGTTGGCAGAAAAGCTTTTTCAGAATTAAAATGAGCCACGTTTTCTGCGATTTACAAATGCGTCTGCTCAGCCTCTATCCAACTGAGTTATGTATTATTATTATTATTATTATTATTATTATTATTATTATTATTATTTTACAGTAGGATCCTGGCTTTGTATAGTCAGCCAGAAAGATCAAAACTGAGACTAGCAAAAAGTGAATTATCCTCTAAGAATATGACAGTCTGATGAAATAGAAAGGATGCTTCCAAAAATTTCTCTTCAGGAGAGTCCCTTCCAAGACAGCTTTTTTTTTTCCAACCGCAAGAATCTATTCCTTTCTTCTTTCTACTTGATGGAAATGGCCGTTTCAGCAAGATCCATTTCTGATTCTTACCATGGCTTCCTGCCCCCCCCTTTTTTTTCTTCTTTATCTTTGTGTAAAGTTTTACTGAGTCTGACATGGTGCCCTTCATAATAAAATAATTTCCAATGAGATCATGCAGGTTAAACACCACACAGCTAAAATAATTCTACTGCCCTTTTTGTCTCGCTGAATTTGCAGAAATAAAGGACTCTGCTTGGAGTTTTGAAAGGTGGAAGGTTTAGCTCCCCTTTTAAATAATAATAATAATAATAATAATAATAATAATAATAATAATAATAATAATAATAATATTGATTAGCCTATAGCTATATCAATGTACAAGGTTCAAACGCGTATTACCAATAAAATCCTATACAAACAATTACTGATTTTTATTGGTAATACGTGTTTGAACCTTGTACGTTGATATGGCCTAGAGGCTAATTAATAAATAATATTAATTAATATTATGTATCTACAACATATTATTTCTAGAATAAAAACAATGCCTGAGTGGAAGGCGTCTGTGAGGTCATCTAGTCTAACCCCCCCCACCGATTAGATTTCCTGCAGAACATTCACACAGTGCCCAAGTAAAAGGGTGAGTTTGCATAACACAAATAAATCACAAATTAGCTTCATGAACCAATCTTGGCAAACTGTACAAATATACCAGCTTGCTAGATTTTTCCCAGAGTTGGTTCAGCGTGTTGCGGGAATGCATCAAAGCGAAGAAATCTGAAACCTCATTTGTAGAATCAAGAGCTGCAACAAAATGTTACGGCGTAGACGGGCTTGCTCCTGGATTATGGGAATTGTGCTCCAAAATTTCTGAAGGGCACCGACTCGACCGCGAGATGTTTCCATGCATTTTTTTGTTAAACAATACACTTCGTTGCAACTTTTCCCTAAACTGACATAACCGTGGAGGCTGTTTTGCTTTAAAATTGTGGATTTGAACCTCGGCGTTGAATTCTCCAACTTGCAAGGGTGTCACTCACCCTCCATCTGAACCTTCCAGGCAGAAAGGAGTCAACGCCAATTTCTCTTCCCTTAGGAAGACTTCAAAAGGAAGTCAGGGAAGGTAATTATGCAGACGTCGGCCACAGCACAATAACCCGTTTCATTTTTATTAATTGACTGGCTGGAACGGAAAAACGAAGCGGTCTCCAAAAAAAAGAACCCCAGAACTTCCAATGGTTCTTCCCAATTCAGACCGTCTAATCTAGGCCAGCCTGGGTCTTTGTGTGGGAAAATGGGCTCCTATTTAACGTTGGCCAGTAGACCAGGTGATGGGAGTGGAGAGTCCCATCCTCCAGTTTCCACTGGACCTCTCGTGATGGGAGGATGATGAGACTCGGATGTCTCTGCTGAAGATCAGCTGAGTAAGGCATGGACCATTCTGACGTCCAGCAGGGAGCCCCATTCATACGAAAGGCTCCTGCAGGGTTTCACTTCTTGCAGGTTGGCGCATCAGTTTGAAAGGGGGCATCCTGAGGCAACGAAGCCCATCCGGGTGGGGTATGGGCAGCAGTTTCCCTGGCACAGATAGGGAGGGGTCTTTACGGCAGGACTACTACAAAGCTCAGGAGGAGTTCTGGCACTCGCTTCTTCACCCACCACAGCTTTCATCTAAAGCAGAGGTGTCCAACGTTGGCAGCTTGAAGACTTATGAGTTCCCAGAATTCCCAAGCCGGCATAGCTTGAAGACTTGTGGACTTCAACTCCCAGAATTCCCAGGGAGCTGGCTAAGGAATTCTGGGAGTTGAACTCCACAAGTCTTCAAGTTGCCAAGATTGGACAGCCTGATTTAAAGGCTTCAGGATTCAACTCAACACACCTTGGGCTTTCCAAGGAGGAACATCTGCCCCAAACTTCTCTCTCTCTCCCCCTCCCCCTCCCCCTCTCTCTATCACTATCTCTTCCTTCTTCCTCTCTCTCTCCTCCCTCTCTCTATCTCCCCACTTCTCTCTCCCTTCTCTCTCCCTCTCCTACTCCCTTCTCTATCTCTATCTCCCTCTCCATCTAACCCTTCTCTCTCCCCCTCCCTCCCTCCCTCCCCCTCTCCCTCCCTCTCAATCTCTCTCCCTCTCTCTTCTCTCCCTCTCTCTCTCTCCATCTCTCTCCCCCTTCTCTCTTTCTCCCACTCCCTTCTCTCTCCCCCTCTCCATCTCTCCCTTCTCTCTCTCCCCCTCTAACTCCCTCTCTCTCTCTCCCTTTTCTCTCTCCCCCCATCCTAGAAAACTGCCTCTCAGCCCAGCCTGACCCTGAGGCCAGATCGAAGGAGGGGCCCCATCGCAAGGAAGTCTCCTAACCAAGCACCCAAGCTTAAAGAAAGGTGGTGGCTCCCCCCAGGAAAGAGAAGATCCTGTTTGGGATATTTGGGAGACCCATCAGCCTTCATCCCCATCCGCTGAAGCCCGACACAAGAGAGCCTCGTGCTCCCCCTCCACCCCGAGCATCCCCAAGCCCAGCCCAGCCCAGCTCACCTGATAGGCGTCTAATTGTTCATCCGTAAAGATGGTTTGCTTGTTCCCCATTTTCGAAGGAGGCGCCTTCCCGTGTCCAGATGCGTCCCATGCCAAGATTTAGGGCCTGGGGGTCTTGCTGGCATCGAGGCCAAGCACGCAACGTGACCGGATTGAGGAGGAAAAAAAAGGGAGAGGGAGAAAAAAAAAAAATCTCACACCTGCATCAAAAGATTCGCGGTGGCCGTTCCTCCCTGCAGAGGAAAGGGGTTAAACTCCCCCATGAAGATCAGACCCAGGGAAGGCTGTTTGGGCTCCCTCTTTTCTCCCTGGCGGGGCAGCAGGAGGGCTTTGCTGGAGGGAGACGATCGGAGGAGACGCCTCTGAGATCTGGAGAAACCATCTCGGCTGCCTCAGATCTCAAAGGCACGGAGGGAAATCGAAGACGGTCCTCCTTTCGGGCTCTCCCATCGTGCGCTGCGCGGTTTCGGGCACACGGTGGCAGCACTTCATCTCGTTTTTATGGCAAATAGATTCCATACAGATGGACAGAGTTGGAAGGGACCTTGTAGGTCATCTAGCCCAACCCAACCCCGCCCAAGCAGGAGACCCTACACCGTTTCTGACAGATGGCAGTCCAGTCTCTTCTTGAAAGCCTTCCAGGGATGAAGCTCCTGCAAGAAGATAAAATGCCCTTGTCTGGATTTATCAATGCTTCTGTTTGATCTGTCCGCTGACCAAAATAAGAACGATGCATCTGTATTATAGAGAAGGGGAGCAGAGGATGAGAAGAACAAACAGCAAAATAACATAGTGGGAAGGGACCTTGGAGGTCATCTAGTCCAACCCCTCTGCTCAGGCAGGAGACCCTATCACATTCCAGACAAGTGGCTGTCCAGTCTCTTCTTAAAAACTTCCAGTGTTGGAGCCCCCACAACTTCTGAAGGTGAGCTGTTCCGTTGGTTGATTGTTCTCACCCTCAGGAAATTTCTCCTTAGTTCTAGATTGCTTCTCTCCTTTAATTAGTTAAAATTTAACTAATTGAATTTTAGGAAGGCAATAGAAACACCACTTGGGAATTTATTTACTTTGGGAGTAATAGGCTTTCCTTTCAAGGCGCAAATTACATTTTAAATCGGTGGTTATTTAATTGCTATGTAAGCATGGAATGATCTGTTACCCTTTGGTTGTAAGCCACGTTCTGTATTTTCCAAAGCACCCAAAAGGCAGGCAAGGAACAAGGGATGGAAACCGATCAAGGAGAGATTCAACCTAGAACAAAGGAGGAACTTCCAGGCAGTGAGAACAATCAACCAACGGAACAATTTGCCTTCGGAAGGTGTGAGAGCTTCATCAGTGGAAGCTTTCAAGAGGAGATCTCTCTGGAATGATACAAGGTCTGCTGCTTGAGCAGTGGTTGGACTAGATGACCTCCAAGGTCCCTTCCAACTGTTATTCTATTCTATTCTAATTTTCCACTGTTCTGTTCTATTCTGTTCTATTCTATTCTATTCTATTCTATTCTTCCATTGTTCTATTCTGCACATGGAGAGTATGAATTCAGGCGAGGTCACGTGGCGAGTCGTAGTCCTTTGTATAGCCCCGCCCTCAACAGCTCTAGGTGCCTCGCGGACCAATCAGGAAAGGCTCCTCCCCGGCCGCCGCGGAGGAGGGACGGGGCGTAGGCCTCCTCGCCTCCCACCAATCCGCTGCCAGCCCAGGGTAGTCGGCGGGCGCTGATTGGCCGGCGCATCCCCAACGCAGCGCCGGCGAGGAGGCCGCGGCCGATTCCTTCCCTTCAGACCCGCGGCGTGACCGTCAAGCCGGGTCGCCGCTGCCGCTGCCGCCTCCGCTCCTTTCGCCATGGCTACGTCTTCCTGGGTTCCGAAGGTGAGGAGGGCCCTGAGGTGACCTTGGCTTCTCCCTCAGGAGGACCCCCGGGTGGCCCCGTGGGAAGTCTCGCGAGAGTTGGATCGCCCCTCCCTTCCCGGCTGTGTGTATGTGGGGGTGAATTCCGTGACTCCTGCTCGGGCGCCCTTTGACGGGTTCGCCCTTGGCGCCTCGCGGGGCCCGGAACCACAACTCCCGGCAGGCCTTTCCCTTCTTTGACGCGCGGGGGTTGCTGGGAGCTGTAGTGCGGCAACTGCCTTGAATCAATTGCGCTCTGCGGCCCTTCCGAAGGGACGGAATCACAACTCCCGGCAGCCCCCGCGGCTGGCCGAGAGGTGGCTGGGAGTTGTAGGCCAGCACCCTTGCAGCCAGGTGGGAGCATCTGCCCTTCCTCTGGCCCTGCTTGCCTCTTATCGAGGCTGATCCACCCCCCCCCCCAAACACACACACACCCCTGGCTGCGTCCTCACAACAACCCCGTGGGGTAGGCCAGGAGGAAAGGGGGGAGGGCTGCTTGCAAGGTGCCCCCTGCCTGCATTGGGGTTGAGTGACAGATGTGACCCCCACTCTTTTGGGGAAGGATTCCTGTTATTCACAGGCTCATCATTGTCTGCTGGCTATTATTGTTATTATTTATCCTGACTTGTTTTGTATCTATCTACCTAACAACCAGCTGGCGCACAAGACAATTTATAAGCTAAGGAAAATAGGATGAAACAATTCTGCTGATTATGTTACCTAGTCTGGTAACGAAACGTTCAGAAACTAAATTGAAACAAGCTTGGAGAGCAAACCACTGCCAATATCTATCTATCTCGATATCTAAATATAGGTATCTATATAGATATAAATATATAATATATAAATACATAGATTCAATATAAAATGATAAATCACTATATTTTCATGATATCCACATTTATCGCTTCTATATAGGTAATATTAGAGCCGCCTCTTTGGTGAGACAGAGGCATCATTCAAAATAAAATTATTGCCCTTTTCAATGATACGATGATCACCCGGCTTGCTTTGAAAGAGTGGTTTCCATAGGAACATCTTGACAGTTTTCACTGGTGCCAAACATCTGGTATTTCCCATAGTAAAATAATAATAATAATAATATTGCAAGACAGTTTCTGATACCAGTGTGAAGCTGAAGAACAAGGGCTGCGACTGAGTGTGGTATTATCTTTATGGTGCCCTGGGATGCCCAAAATTCCCTGCAGGTGAGTGACAGGGAGGGATATCTCTGCCTTCTTCAGTTTTCAAACCCCACGGCTTGGTTATGCTTCTCCTAAGCTGATTTGTTTAGTTAGTTGTAAATTCGGTGCTGATTTAATGCAGCAGATGCTTTCTGTTAGTCCGGCTGCTAAAATTAACTATATTCTTATTTTCATTGCTATAGGTCTTTCGTTTTCTTGGGGGGTTCAGAATTCAGAAACAGATGACCAGAAATTTTGCTAGTAATGTGAGTATACTAGTCTAATTGTTGTCATCCCCCACCCACCTTCCTTTTTAAAGATACTTTACCAGAGGGTTGTAGAAAAGCAAAATAAGACCATGCTGGCTGGAGATTCAGGAAGTTAAAAGTCCACATGTCTTAAAGTTGCCAAGTTTGAAAAAACACTGCTTTCTTTGTTTTAAAAGGGGGCCCTCAGGTTACCCACTCCTGTTTTAAACGACAAACTAAAAAGATTGATCTGCTAGGTTTTCTTCATAATCAGATCAATCTTTTTAGCTCGTCGTTTAAAATAGGAGTGGGCAACCTGAGGGCCCCCTTTTAAAACAAAGAAAGCCAACTCCTTTACATAATAATCTGAACCACTTCACATTGCAAGGATGATGTCTGAATTCTGTATCCATAAAAAGGCAGCGGTCAGGGAAGCCCAAGAAAATAAAAGCTGTGTTCCTCTCACTGAGTGAAAAATGCACAGAAATCACAGGGCGTCATTTAAAGTCCAAATAATCTCCAGGTTTGTTTGTTTTTTCTTTGAAACCATCTTTAAGCATAACATCTGATGGATGAGGGTTTATTTTGTTTTTGTTTTGTTTTTCTTCTAGCCTCAGACGGTAACGTTGATCCCAGGAGATGGTATTGGGCCTGAAATCTCTGCTGCTGTGATGGAGATTTTTGAAGCTGCTAAGGTAAACCTGGCCGTGGATGGTTTCATGGGTTTGGTTATCCTTTCTGAAGAAACGGCGGCTTTATTCCTTGGTCGCACTTTCCTGAGGACAACAATGAGGGTAGTTAATAATGCCCCCCCCCCCAAAAAAAATGTGTTTAGGTCCCTGTTCAGTTTGAAGAAAGAATCGTGACTGCCATCCAAGGACCCGGAGGGAAGTGGATGATACCCCAAGATGCCAAAGAGTCTATGGACAAGAACAAAATAGGATTAAAAGGTACTTGGCTGGAAAGGAAGAACTATTAAGTTTTGCTGCAGTTCTGGAAATAAGCCCGTGCTTGAATTCCACTACATAACGGTTAGAAATACGCCAAGAAGGTCCCGTTTCTTGTGTCTTTTTTAAATCACATTTTAGTGGGGGTGTAAAAAACAAAATGTTGCTTCGTTCACTGCCAGTTTTCTGCTTGTTTTCCAGGCCCTTTGAAAACTCCCATAGCTGCTGGCCACCCGTCCATGAACTTGCTGCTCCGTAAAACATTTGACCTGTATGCCAATATCCGTCCTTGCGTGTCCATCGAGGGCTACAAGACCCCTTACACGGATGTGGACATCGTCACCATACGAGAGAACACGGAAGGCGAATACAGCGGCATTGAGCACGTGGTACGTAGTTTGAGTGGACATTAATTCCAGCCACCCCACACGCCTAGATTATGCAGGCTGCTTGAATTTAACAAAAGACTTCAGTGAAATTAACTTATAACCGCTGCTTAACTTGGTTTTTCCAAGTTTTTCATAACCCTCCTTTTTTTTTTGCTCCTTGCTTAACCTTTGTGTGTCTTTCAGATTGTGGATGGTGTTGTGCAGAGCATTAAACTCATCACCGAGGACGCAAGCAAGCGGATTGCTGATTTTGCTTTTGAATATGCCAGGAATAATCAGAGGAGCAAAGTTACAGCTGTGCACAAAGCTAACATTATGTAGGTGCTGATAAAATGACTCTAAGCCTTTCCAATTCTTATTCCAATTTTCAGAATCCTAACTGCTTTTTTTTTTTAACCAAGCCATGTTTTCTGCCGCAACACATTGTCAGAGAAAGAGAGGTGGTGTATTGGAGGCTTATTTTTGGCAGACAGATATTATTCAATTTAAGACTCGATCCCTGGTCTCCGCTTTTCCAAATTAACTCGCTAAAAGAAAGCTTTTATAATTGCTTAGCTACAGATGATTGAAGACTCCTTGTAAATAATAATTTTAAAAACCAGTTTGCATGCCTGGACCTCCAACCTGGGTTGCTTTTCTTTGTGTGCAGGCGAATGTCTGATGGCCTCTTTCTGAAAAAATGCAGAGAAGCCGCAGAAAACTGTAAAGATATTAAGTTTAATGAAATGTACCTTGACACCGTGTGTCTGAATGTGAGTATATAATGTATGATGAGACATTTAAGTGGCCACTGTTCTGGTTTTGTTAAAAACTACTGTTACCTGTCTTTCTTTTTTCTTCAGATGGTGCAGGATCCATCTCACTTTGATGTCCTCGTCATGCCAAATTTGTACGGGGACATCCTTAGGCAAGTAGTTTTGAGTTGATGGTGGTCCATGTGGGTGGGAGATGTGTCCAAACGTTCTCCTCTGGTGCAACCTGATTTTGCTTCCCTGCTACAGGGCTTAGACTTCTCAAATATCTTCCACTGCAAAGGCTAATTGTCCTTTCTCCCACCCTCTGCTGTGTGTGGGGTTTTTTTTCTTTCAGCGATCTGTGCGCAGGCTTGATTGGGGGTCTTGGTGTGACTCCCAGCGGGAACATCGGTGCTAATGGAGTTGCAATCTTTGAATCAGTAAGTTCTTGATTGCGACATGGAGTTAGCTCGTTAGACTGGCCTTTGGGGGGTAGCAATGGGTCAGTGGGATGAGGATGCTTCCTCTTCGCAGGTTCACGGAACAGCTCCGGATATTGCCGGGAAAGACTTGGCCAACCCAACGGCCCTTATCTTGAGTGCTGTCATGATGCTGCGTCACATGGAAATGCAAGACTTCGCCATGAAAATAGAAACGGCTTGCTTCGATACCATCAAAGACCAGAAGGTAGATCTTGGCTAAGGTTCACCAAACTGAGGTGACTTTGGGAAGGTTACATTCTGGGACTGAATGCCTGTTTATTTAGGTTCAGGCCTTCCATGTCTGAAATAACAGCACTTTTCCCAAAATGAATTAGGCATTGACTAGGTCAGGAGTGAGCAACGATAGCAACTTTGTGATCAGTGGACTTCAACTCCCAGAATTCCGGAGCCAGCATGTGGCTGGCTCAGGAATTCTGGGAGTTGAAGTCCACGGGTCGTAAAGTCACCATAATTGCCCAATTAGACTTAGTGATAATGGTTTTATCACCCTTTGCTATTCTAATGTATAAATGATACTGTTAGCATTATCCATTAAGAGATTAGGTGACAAAATGCCAAAAGTTGCATCTCATTCCAGACTGAAAACCAGGAACTGTGAATTTATTCTGTCTGTCAGCACAAATCTTATAAAACAGAAGTTTTATTTGTGTGTGGCCTATAAATTTGATGTTAGAAAAATTAGATCAGGTAGCCTGTTCAGTTTTCCCGTTCATAAATGATCTTAACTTCCATGCACAATTAGCAAAATTTCCTTTCCCAATTTTAGGTCTTGACCAAAGATTTGGGAGGCAACGCCAAATGTTCGGAGTTCACCGCAGAGATCTGTCGCAGAGTGAAAGCCATGGAATAGAAGCCGTCTCCGTGTCCTCCTGGTTTCAATCCCTCCTAAAGGATGCTGTTATTTATTACGTGTCACATCCATTTTTTTCTTTTTCTAGAAATAAATTCCATTTCCATTGCTTGAAACGATAAAATTGTTAGCTACCCTTATATTTCAGACCCCTCTACTTTCCAGAAACACTCCAAAACTTGAAGTAATATTTTTTTCTCACCCCAGCAGTAGAAGACACTCCTCAAGCTGTCCTTAAGCAGCTTCCTCGCCTTAAGATAGCACAAAATAAAAATTTTCCTTTGGAAATAGAATTATTTTTTTCATTACTCACTCCTGGAACCTGCCTTTCCAAAGCATAAAGACTTAAAACTCTGGGCATTTCAACTTGTGTACATAAAACGTCAAATATCCAGATTTTAAGGGCAGAAGGAATATCATTCAGCGATAAAAAAAATAGCACATTATCCTCATACAGCTTCAGTATTTTTTTTTACACATCATCTCTTGCTCTAGCATTTTCCAACACTGATCTGTTCTATCCATTGCCTTTGTCTGCTGCTGATTATGAAGGGAACGCTAATGCTTTTTTTTTTAAAAAAAAATATTTATCTTGGTGAATATCAAATATATATTTTGGGGTTGGAATGTATCTGCAGGCCGTTTGTATTGTGCTTGGCGTTTATAGAGCTTTAGGTTATATTTCAGCACGCTGCTCTGCAATGAACTGGGTTTCAAAGCACTACAGTAAAAAAAGAAACCAGAAATGCATTTGGTGTGAGGTGGGACAACATGGAGAATGCTGACGGTTGCTTGATTTGTTTTTGTTCCAGGTGATGTGAGCAAATACAAAATGCATGCTAAGGTGGGAGTTTTCTCCTGTTGCAGAGGGATCAATGAATGAAATCTCCTTTGTCTCGTGGGAACAGATGTTGGTGGAAGAGAGGAATTGCAGAGATGCTGGGTACGAAAGCATCAATATTTCTGCTGCTAGTATTTCCAATCCTTAAAGATGGAATCTTTCTTTTCCTTGGAAATTCTTGGAAGTCCTGTTGGCCTTTCCTTATGTAGTCCACTATCCTGCAAACCTTTAGAAAAGGAGTGTCCAACCTTGGCACTTTTTAGGCACTTGCGGACTTCAACTCCCAAACAGCCACACTGGCTGGGGAATTCTGGGAGTTGAAGTCCACAAGTCTTAAAAGGTGCCAAGATTGGACACCTATATTTTAGAATGTCTTGCATTGATTCGCTAGCCAGCTTCTATCACTTGTGGCACATTCCCATTTAGTTCCCAAGTTTGGAGATAACGAGCTATGGCAGGATCACCGATCTAACCAGGACTGCCAACCTCCAGCTTGGTGGGGAATTTTGGGAGGGGGGCTGGTATTCATTTCCATTGAAATCAGACCAGCAGAACTGCTTGCGTTGCTACCAAGAATTCCGTTTGATATTCTCAATGGTCAGAAAAGTAGCCGTAAAGCAGCCAGCTTTATCCTGTGTGTGATTCTGCACGGTGTTTAATGCAGTCACTTTCATATCTCTATATGGGCTCAAAACCTGGGAAAGTTTGACTAGTCCAAACTCTGTTTTTGCAGCTGTCTGTAATAAATGAGGTGGGGGCTTGCCATTTGATGCATAACGAGAGGGAAATAAAAGACTTTACAAAGAAATTTCTTGCTTTTTTGTGTTCTTTTAATAAGTGAAGCTTTAAATGCTCCGTCAATCTATTTTTGCATCTCCCTCTTTTATCTCTGCAAGATCTCAGACTGATTCTAGAAAGGATATTAAGTTTTAAGTATTGGGGTTACAAACAAGCTTTGTCATGAATCATAGAAAGTCTTCAAATTTTCTCAATGGAAGCTACTAAGGCTGGAGAAAAACCTGGAATCACAGAAAAGTGTTGCTTTGTTGAATAAAATAATCTACTTAGAGCCATGTGGAATATGGCAGGATAAAAAGCTTGTAATAAATGCAATAGCACCGTCTGAACCAATTATTACGGCTCATTGCAAAGAGTTTCATGGGTACATTTTGAAGTACCTCAAACTTTTTAGCCAATGTTTGCTTTACAAAATACTTTTATTATTTGACATGGTTTTTTTTCCAGAGCTGGCTTAAAAATTACCTTTATCCATGCAATCGAATAGTTCCTGGGGAATTCAGAATAAATTAAGATACAGTTTGATTTAAAAGCATTTTCAAGGGTCAGCTTAACTAATCATTCCATCTCTAGCCCATATAACTGCAGTAGAATAAAAGTCTGTTAACTGGATTGTATTTGGGAGTTATGATTCGGTCTTTTGGTTACTAAATTGAAAATAACACTGAGAAGTCATAGAGAGATGCTTTCTGCCCCCATTGCAAAAACTATTCATACCTTTTCCAGTGTAATGTTTGCATGGGAACAGTTAAGGCTTTACAAAAGAAACTGGCAGGATTTCTTCTGACGGAGCTAAGGCAACTCAACTTCAATCCTTGTAAAAAGCTTCAATTTCATTTTGGTACTTCTCGGCCACCGTTTGCCGCTTTAATTTCATCGATGGACCTAAAAGGAAAGGAAATTGGTCAGTAGGAGGGAAGAATTGGAAGAATTGAAGGAAAATGATAGGTGGGCTCAGTTCAGGTTGTATATTTCGTGCAATTTTGGTGAGTTTATTCTCTTGCTTCACCAAGCTGTCGCCTTCCCAATAATCTATATCTCCAGCTCAGAACGGAAAATGCCTCCTACAAAAACTCACTGTAAACTCACCAAATTCTCCCCCAGAAATAGAGAAATCTTTTCCTAAAATCGCCCACTTCTGAATGCGCTGAGGGTTGCTGACAGAGCGCCTATTGACCCGGTCTATGCCATCTTGCACAGCCCGGTAAACGGCTTGGTCTCTGGTCTGCACAATCTCGGACACCCGTGTGGCTTTGCTGCCGGCTTTTTGACAAAAGTCTCTGGCTTCCTGGGTCAGGCAGTCGGTGGGTTCCGATGTATCAGGATCCACTGAGCACTAATAACATCAACAACAAAATTACACATGACACCTTTAACCACGTCAAAGGAAAAACGAGTGGTTGCACAAAACCTAAGCTAGGGTGGGTTGAGTGCTGGGTGACTAGTCCAGTTGGCTGGACTTTGATCCAAGACTGTGAATCCGAAACGGGGTGAAATTGGTCATCTCATCAAGCCAAGGAACAGGAAAAAGCCCAAATTTCAAATATGCAACTGAGAATTAATCAAAAAAACTATTTTCATCATGTACCTTTAAGGTCAACAGCATAGACAAGAACTTCTTCCGGTCGCCAATCAACACAGCGTTGCTAATAAGTGGCAGCTCCTTCCTGACAGCTTCTTCCAGGGGGATTGGAGGGATATTCTCACCTCCAGCTGTAATAATCAGCTCTAAGAAATACAGAACATCAATGTTCAGCTCGAAAATACATCTCATCGTCATCCTAGGCTTCCATCTGTGACAGGGAAGATGGGCTAGCATCCTTGCAAATACTTCTCTATGACCCCCTTGGCATGTGCTGTAAAAGCTCAATTGAATAAACTAGTGCAGGGGGTATCCTTTCCTCCCCCTCCCCCTCCCCCGGCCAAATGTCCATTCAAATTGCAAATGACGCCAACCGAATCACGATACCATTTGCATCGATCAATGCGCTAGGCAAATTACATGAATGAACACAAATGACTACATTTCGTCCACATCAACGCACAAAAAATGTACGTCGCTAAAAAAATATATGTAAAATTAAATGTAGATGCTTCAACCTGGCTACTTTGGATGCCGCAGGCTTCTGCCCAGATAGAAATGGTCCATTTAACTTTAAGGTTTGTTATGCTCTCATATGGCATCATGCAGAATCTTCTGGCCATCCTATTTCCCAGAAACGGTCCAATCCAGTTCAACCAATATCTATTTCAGCAAAGACTATTCTGAATTTTAGGAATATTATGTAGTTCTTGCTGCTAATTGTCTGATTTAGTTGAAACTTAAGCAATTCCCGTCAACCAAGAATCTCTCCAATAGATAACTTGTGCTGAGCCTTAAGGAATGCCAAGAGATTCTTCGGAAACTTCTACACGATGGCCGAAAGAGGGCAGCCTCCATCAATAATGGAGCTTGAAATTTGGTACTGAAGGACTTGATAGAAGCACCTAAGAATTTAACAGCCTGAACAGCTGAAAGAAAAAGAAGTAGGGCAAGGCAATCTCCAGATGTTTGAGACTAAATCTCCAACCACTCTGGCCAGTGAGAAAGAAGTATGGAAGCTGTGATCCAAAACATCTGGAGAACTTCAAAATACAGCAAGGAAGGCACCACCTTTAATTCTTCCGGTGACATAAACAAATCCATCCTGGTCAATCTTTCCAAGATCTCCAGAGTGCAACCAGCCATCCTGGTCAATCACTTCCCTGGTCTTGTCCTCCATGTTCAAATAGCCCATGAAGACGCTCCGTCCCCAAAAGCAAATCTCCCCGTTGCCATCCTTGTCTTCGTTGACTATCTTAATGAGGCAGCCTGGGACTACCTTGCCACAGCTGCAAGGAAAGGATGGACAACAGAAACAAGAGGGTCAACACCATGCTGAGAAGATGGGAGCTCTGCCTTTTCCTGGAGGGGGCTGGAGGTGCCAGATGACCAGAAAAGGCCGCACCCACGAAACCTTAGACAGTCTTTTTTTTTTTTTAATTGCAATTGTACATTTGCTTGATTTTTAAAAAATTGGAGCTCTGGCACTCAACAGCTTCCAGATACATCATGAAAATGTCCCCAATACTCCAAGGGAAAAATGGTTTTAGAAATATGGGAAAGCAGGTCTGCCTTTTCTCCAATGTGTTTGCAACTCTATGCTGGCTGGGGAATTCTGGGAGTTGAAGCCCACACCTCTTCGAGTTGCCGAGGGTGAAAAACACTGCTCTTGAGTCTCCAAGGAATTCCAGATAACGTATGGGTTTTCACAGTGGGCTTAACAGAGTGACTAAATCAAACCAATGCTTTTATTATTGAGCCTGTCATCTGCACCTCCATAACTGTCTGGTTTGGTTCTGCAACCCAACAAGGCAAACACAGACTTCAACGGATAATTAGAACTGCAGAAAAAACAATTGGTACTAACCTGCCTTCCACTGAGGATCTGTATACTGCATGAGTCAAAAAGAGGGTTGGGAAAATATCTACAGACCCCTCACATCCTGGACATAAACTGTTTCAACTCCTACCCTCAAAACAACACTATAGAGCACTGCACCCCAGAACAACTAGACACAAGGACAGTTTTTTCCTGAACGTCATCACTCTGCTAAACAAATAATTCCCTCAACACTGTCAAACTATTCACTAAATCTGCATTACTATTATTATTCTCTTCCTTACTAGTATCTATCTCTTCCCACTTCTATAACCATGTGGCTTGTATGTTTCAATTTATATTGTTTTTACTTGTTTCCTAGTACGATTTGATAGCTTATTAGTAACCATGACTATCACTAACTGTTGTATCTTTTTATTCTTGATTAATGTAGTTTATTCTCTTTTTGCACATTGAGAGCATATGCATCAAAGACAAATTCCTTGTGTGTCCAATCACACTTGGCCAATAAAAAATTCTATTCTATTCTATTCTATTCTATTCTATTCTATTCTATTCTATTCTATTCTATTCTATTCTACTCATTTCGCCAGTATATGAAGCACAAATAAGTTCCGTCATACTGACAACTAAGTTTAATCTATTGTAAAAAGGCAGTCTTTAATTGCAGGAGTCGGATGTAAAGGACCCAACTCTCACAAGGTGACCACAATTTTCTGAGAAGCTACATTTCACATTCACACCCAGAATGTAGATGCCAGGGATGGCAGGGAAAACACCACAGATACCTGTCTCCATCCCTTATCTTTGCAGGTGGCCCCAGCCCAGTCTACTCTCACCACCTGCAAGCTAAACTTCAAGGTTTCTTTGTTGCAGGGTTGCTAAGGGGAACAGGCCGGATCTTTACCTGTGAGGTCGATACACATGTGGCCCAGCTATGCAAAAGGGACCGGAGGTTTCGCTCATCCCGTACCCTTCATAAATAGGGATGTTTAGGCCGAGGAAGAAGTGGGAGACTTCCACAGGGAGAGGGGCAGCTCCGGAGAAATGCTTCTGGCACTGGGAAAGGCCCAGGGCCCACCGGATGTTCGCCAGGAGCAAAGAGTCCACCAACCCCATCCAGAAGGGCTTTGAGTCCCTACAAAGTTGCAAAAGAGGAGAGCCAACAGGTCCAAGGTGAAATTGGGAGGAGTCAAGTGACGCTTGTCAAGATTCAGGAAAAGACTCAACATGAGTTTCAAGAGGAGCACAAAGACATCAGACAATGTCAAACAGCAGTCCGAAACAAACCCATTCATGCAAACTTAGTGTTGTTTCTGGAATACATTCGCCAGCCAGGCAACCACTGCGTTTTATTTATTTAGGAGATTTATATTGCTGCCTATTCGCACATGGTGACTCAAGGCGGCTTACAAGAATATAAAAACATCATAACATCATATAAAAAACAATAAAAGTAAATAGATTTTGCCTGTCTGAACCTCCAAGACAAGGACGCTGAACGGGCCTGAGCAAACAAAGTGGTTTGCAAGAGGCTATCGGTGCCACGAAGCTTTGAAAGTTATCCCGCACAAATTTTTGGAACTGCAAAGATTTGCAGCTAGATTAGAAATTTGCAGAACATCTAAAGAAAGTATTGCTTCAATGAAGGCAACGTTTTCTAATCTTGATTCCTTTAAGATGAGTGAACTTGGCTTGGGATGCTCTCTGGGGGGGAGGCAGGTCTGAGTTGAAGTCTACTCATCTTAAAGCAGCCGAGGTTTGGGAAACACAGAATCAGGGATTTATTTTTCCTTGCTGTTTGTGCTGTGTAATAGTTAACCCTTTCCCCCCAAAAAACAGGTCCTTATGGGTACCCACCTATTTGAGCAGCTCAGGTTTTGTTCCAAAGTGGCCGACATGGCCCAAGACAGCATCTTCTTCTTCAGCAATCCGGTTTGAGAAGAAACCTCTTTGATCTTCTCCATCATCTTCTCCCACACGCGGGGTACTCCCATTTGTGAAGAGGGCAATGCTTCTTTGAGGACCTCAACCAAGCTTCCCTGTGAAGGCCAAAGAGGGGAGGTTGGGAGCAAAGAGATCAGGGATGCCCACTCCATGCCAACTCCCTGGTCAACAGGTCAGACTAGAGGATCTTGTCTTCACGGGGCACTTAGTTAAATTGTGGAACCAGGAGTTACAAGATGAAGTCACTGCCTCACTTGGCTTTAAAAGGGGGTTGGATACGAGGGGTATTATTTTGTAGCTCCCCCATATTTCTCAAAAAGTAAGTTCCCCGAGTTTGGCAGGGCTTTAGACACTTAAAAAATATCTGGTCAGCAGATGTTGCATAAAAGAGCCCTTTTAAACTCTAAAAATATATCACCTCCCTATGAGATCTACTCTTAATCTTAAAAGTAATTTAAGTAATCTCTAAAGCAATAAACAGCACTTCAATCAAGGAACTACCAACAGTCAAACAGTCAACAACAGCCTAATCAAGCAACCCTGAAGGACATTCCCAGATAGGGCAATTTACTTGCATATAAAGAAAAAGCAATAACTCCCTCCCTCCAAGTGATGATGATGTTATCTAGATGGATAATGAAATGTCTGCAAGGAAACAACCAAGCTCGGAGAGCACCAAGGACTCCGACTCCTCCTCTCCCTTCTAACACTGATATTGTTACCTACTTGGATCATGAAATATCTGCAAGAAAAGCATCAAGCTCAGAGAGCCCTAAGGACCCCACAGTTCAACCCTGAGCTACAAATACTCTCTTCTATTGGCAATTAATCTTACCATGACTGGGACTGGTTAATTAAACTTGCTTAAGACAAGAATCAGGTTATGACCTATAAAGTACATCCACCCTATTTTTCCCTTATTATTTCTCTAGAAGGATATCTCATCCTATCCTGCTGAAAAGTCCAGAGTGTATCTTATGGAAGATGCATGGAACTGCATGGGAAAGAAACTTGGCCCCAAACCCCGCTGAGAGACCTTCAAGGCATCCGGTTGTGCGAAATAAACCTCTTCGCCCCACTTGATCCCAGTCCAGAGGTCATACATCTGACCAGCAACGTGGCTCAGTGGCAGGTAACTGACAATCTTTTCCTGTTGGATTTCAGCTGGTTGTACGTCTCCTGCTCGACTGGCATGGGCAGAGGTCCAGGTAATCTGCCCAGATTTTTAAAAAGAAATGGCAAAGAATTAAAGACTTGAGCCAAGGATTTCAGTTTTTTTTTTTTGTTGTTTTTGCTGTGTCCCAAGGTCACGTGATCCTTCTTTGCAACCTTCTGACAAGCAAGTCAATGGGGAAGCCAGATTCACTTAACAACTGGGTTACTAATGTATCAACTGCAGTGATTCACTTAACAACTGTGGCAAGAAAGTTCGTAAAATGGGGCAAAGCTCACTTAACAAATGTCTCACTTAACCACAGAAATTTGGGGCTCAATTGTAGTCCTAAATTGAGGATGACCTGTATTGGGTCATTTCTGTAACATCACCTGCATTTCTTGGTGTTTCCTCTCCTACTTGAGTTATGTGACTTTGCCGTTGAAATTAGATGAAGTTTTAACATTGCTGGTGTGTTTACTGTGACTTTGTAACTGGACAGAGTCGTGAGATAGCAGTGGGAGAGAGATCAAATCAGTAAATAATACTGTCTCTTCCGCGTCCAAATATGCTTTTCTGCGTCATCCAAGCAGCAGCAAGGTGGCCAAATTCTTGGGCAGAATTTGATCACCGTTTAGAGCAGTCATCTTTTAATAAAAGGGGCCTCAGTGCGTAGTGAGGGCCAGCAGATGCTTTCCACAATGAGGGAGACAATAAAAATAGCCTTCCTGCACATGGAAATCAGGAATAGCCAGGCCGAGCAAGCTAGAACTTGCACAGAGAAGTCATTACTGATCTCCAACTTCAACCCTGTTATCCATAAATAGGTTTCTTTGGACAAGATCAACTCAACAAGAAGAGAATACAAATATTCTCTTCTATCAGTAAAATCAACTTTATGGGCCTCCGAACCATCTCCAGAAGTTGTGGGTGCTCCATCAATGGAGGTTTTAAGATGTGGTTGGATGGCCATTTATCTGGAAATGTATAGGGTCTTCTGCTTGAGCAGGGGTTGGATTAGAAGACCTCCAAGGTGCCTTCCAACCCTCTTATTCTGTAAAACATGCGTCCCCAACCTTGCCAACTTTAAGACTTGTGGACTTCAACTCCCTGAATTTCCCAGCCAGTGTATAGTTAAGACTTAAAGTTGCCAAGGCTGGAGATCCTTGCTGTAAAAGACATTTCTTCCACTGGGCACGACTGAGGAACCTCCCTCCACTGCCAACCTGAAGCAGTCTCCAGCTTTCCTTGAGACAGCCAAAAACTCTGTGGCACGATTTTCTCTGTGCCCAGGGCCAATCTCTCTCCTGCCACAGCTGTCTTGCTTCCCAGTCCCCTGACCTCTTTCCAAGGTGATGGGAATCCTTTGCAGCGTTGGAATAAAAGAGAAAACATGATTTATGCCAGTTCAGCCCAGGACAGAGTAATCTCTTTCACTCCCAAGCTGGCATAAAGACCAGGCTGTTGGCAGGATACATTTGGGCCCTGGCTAAGGACAAGTAGAAATATGGCCCTTTGTTGTGTTACATTCTCTCTGTTATACTAAAAATGCACTTTTCTGTGTTATCCTGACAGTAAATCTCTACTATTTTTTTACTACCAGAAGAAATATGAACTTTGTTCTACATTTTTTTTAGCTGTTTCGGCATTCGGATCTGTTTTTTTTTTTTATTGTTGTTTACTGTCTATATTTTAATCCCCATATTTCAGACCTTGAGGGGATTATTAATAAATCTTCAATGCAAAATTAATCACATAATACAGTTATCATTGTATTCTTGCATTAATTTTGGCCCTGAGGTTTTATTTCTGTTTCTAATTTGTTATTGTTAGCATTGACTGACATCGACACAGCTAAATACCTACATTGTCATGGCTCAGCATGACCCCTTTGGGCTTCCCTGTCGTTCCAGAGGTGTAGATCAGGACACAACATTGGTTTGCCTCTTGGGAGTTGATGATGGCATCAAGTTGTCCATCCGGAATTTCGTCTCCCAACTCCATGAATTCATCCATCTACGGAACAGAGAGGAAGGTCCCTATGATACCCAGGTCTTCATCATAATAGAACTGTTAATCTTTCTGCATTTACTTTCACCAGGCTTGGGTAATCTTTGTATAATGCATTAAAGGTTTTTGCAATACACTATTGATACGGCCATGCCATGCGTGTGCTCGTTCCGAAGTAAGTCCATTGAATTTCCATTGGATACCCCAGTTGGGCTCAGGAGACCAAACCCCTGTTTATTTTATGTGGGATGCATGTAATTTGTCAAATAAACTGCTAAATTAATACCACTTGGAGGGAAAATGGTACTAGATTTTCATAGGGGGAGGATTGTAAATTCAATTATTGTCCACCCACCTTCCTAATTTTGCATCCTGGAGTGCTAAGTGGTCTTTTTGGTTTTAGACATAAATCAGGGGTGAAACCCAGCAGGTTCTAACTGATTCTGGAGAACCAGTAGCAGAAATTTTGAGTAGTTTGGAGAACCGGCAAATACCACCTCTGGCTGGCCCCAGAATGGGGTGGGAATGGAGATTTTGCAGTATCCTTCCCCTGCCACGCACACCAAGCCACGCCCATCAAGCCACACCACGCCCACCAAGTCACACCTACAGAACCGGTAATAAAAAAAAGATTGGATTTCACCACTGGCATAAATGTCCTTCTTTTTACATCAATTAGAGACACAACTGGGAAAAACTAAAGGATTCTTGATGGATCTTCAAAGGACCGGTTCTATCCTTGAACAAGCAAAGTGAGTCTAAATCTAAGGAAGTTTTACTGGTGTTAATTGCTCGGACAAATGCACCAAGAGAACAGCTACAGAACATATAATTTCACACACGAACCATGTGAAGAAGGCTCCTGTGAGTCTCCTCCCATCGTTTTTTGGATCCAACCCCAGAATTTTAGAAAACATCTACAGAACTGGAAACCCGAGGCTGATGCATGAGCTGGCCAACTAACAGCACCCGGGCAACTGGGAGCGCATCCATTAACACTTCAAAGAAGGACGGTGTCAGTTTGGTCAGGATGACGAAGCGTGAAGTGTCAGCACGTCTGGGGAGAAATCCTTTCTCCATTACTACCATACTGTCCTTCCAGTGAATGCAAAGGGCAGGGAAGGACACCGTTACATGTTGGGAACACAGACCATAATTTCTTAGCCAATAAACTGTGTTTGAGGTTTAAGCATCTTCATGTTTCATAATTCCTAGGAGCATCTTTTGATGTCCTTTACCAAGCTGAAGTCTGTGGGATTAGTTAGTTGGTGAGTTAGTTTTACTACTGTTGCTAAATTGGCCTCAAGTTTTAGCTGATTAATCTGGAGGTCACACTTTTTTAAGTCTGTAGTTTTGTTCACGTGTGTGGGAAAGTATTATTTTAAAGGTTGAGGATGCACAGTATAGCACAGATATCCAACCTTGGCAGCTTTGTAGACTTCAGCTCCCAGAGTTCCCCAGCCAGAATGGCTGGTTGGGGAATCTTGGGAGATGAATTCTCGGAGTTGAAGTCCACAGTTCTTAAAGTTGTCGTGGTTAGACACCCCTGATATATAATGTTTCTTCTGCTTTTTAGAATTCCAGATGTCTTTAATTATATCAACCAGGTTCATGTCATGCTTAGTAAGATGTCTGAACCTATTTTCTGAAAGCAGCTTTTGAGCCTAGCCTTATGTCTGAACCTCCCAATTGTGGCTTATTTATCAAACTATGGCTAAGCACTATGCATCGGCTCAACCAGACACTCCCCTGATTTTTTCCTTTTCTGTCTTGCTGAAGTATTAATATTTCCTCTTCAAACTGTTTTTGACCATTTACAGAAATCCCAGAAATGGGGAGGGAGAATGGAATTAAAACTAACGAGGTAATTAAAATGGATGAATTACTTGATTTATCATGAATTTACATACCGTATACAAATTGGGATGTTTCTCAGACACACAATCTTTATACATCACGACAGCTTTTAAGTATGGTAAACGATCCCAGATCTGTAGTTTGAGATTTAAAAAAAAAAAAATCTTATCTGCATTATGGATAATGCTATACTGGAACAAAAAAATTAACATTCCAACTCAGAAGAAATCAGGCAGACGAATATTACCACATAAGCCAAAAAGATTAAAAATGATAAAAGCTTCATTTCTGCGTTAGATTTATAATCTTACAAGGATATTTTATTTTCCAGTCTGCTTTACACATTGCACAAAGCAAGAATTGTGGAATGAATCGTAAAGCTTGCTCTATATGTAACATTTAAGCTATAAATCTCAGTTGACTAACCACAATGACTTGACACCTTAAGACAAAAGTACACAAACCATCTTCCAGCTTAGTGACATGCAAATCTGGGTTTGTTTCACAACTGAAACCCTGAGTACAGCCCAGGGTAACCCTTCAAAGCCAATTTTACTGAATCTCAAAATAAGTTTCAAATCTGTAATATGAGCTGCTCTAAACTGACATTGATTGGAGCAGCAAAATGGCTTGGCACCAGGTTACCTGAGGGACCGTCTCTTGCCGGTCACACCTACCTGACCCATCAGAGCAGGGAGGCAGGGAATGTTGCGGATCCCATCCCCAAGGGAGATACACCTGGTGGGACCCAGAAGAAGGGCCTTCTCCATGGTGGCCCCCTCTCTCTGGAACATCATCCCCCCCCCCCCCCCCCAGAGATTAGAAAGGCCCCTACTTCTGGAAAGTGCTGAAGACTTGGTTCTGCCAGCGGGGAACCCAGAGCAGTAGGGAGCCCATTAAATGGCTTGTGTGAGGTGGGGTGATTTTATTATATTATATTAATATATTTGATTCTTTTTTATTAGTTTTTATTGTTTTAAATGTGATTTTATATTCTGTAAGCCGCCTTGAGTCACCATGGGCGAATAGGCGGCAATATAAATTCAATAAATAAATAAAATGTGGGACACAAATCTAACAAATAAATGGAAGCCCAGCAAATAAATCCACGAATAAATAGAGGTAAATAAAGTCAAGCTGACATTCTCTAAAAGGGGTGTGAATTCTAGCAGCAAGTTCCTTACCTGCATTATCTTGTCCAACTGCTTCTGGTTTTCCACCACCACAATATTAGCTCTGCAATCATGAGCAATATAATGACAAGCCTCTGGAGAACTGGTGGTGTAGATCCCAGACACAATGCCTCTGTTGTTGAGTAGAAATAACATTTTCCTTTTAATGACAAGCATGCCATATCGTACAAGCGGGTTAATATTTCCTAGTTTGAAAACCAAGGGCTTATGACAATTATAGGAGTACACAGGATTTTTTAAAAAAATTAGTGAACAGGGCCCAACTGACCTTGGCTGATCTCAAAAGCAGGACTGAAACTGGATGGTGTTTGGATGGGAAACTAGCAAGGAATGCCAGACTATAATCTAAACCAGTGTTTCACAACCTTGGCCTGAAGATGTGTGAACTTCAACTCCCAAAGATGTGTGGACTTCAACTCCCAAGTAGTCAAGGTTGAGAAACACCGATCTAGACTGAGAAGTTAAAAAGAAATCAATAGGAATTCACTTATGAAAACTTGATGGGACATTTCCATATAATCATCAAGACTTGTGCACAACTTGCAGACTTAAATTTTCAACAATCCCTTGCATTAAATGCAGCTCGCTTGGGAGAAATACCCCATAGCTTGTAACTTGTTGACCTCTGGACCTGCTGACACCCCTCCAGCTCTCCTCATCTGAACCTGGCCAAAAGGGAGGGCTCCAACTAAACCATCAGCTACCTCAGCTCATCTTCCCTGGCCAGGAGTTTATTTGTGTCACAATTCCCTAACGAGGACGTTTCCAACCTTACCCAGCAAATACAGCTCCTACAGCCGAAATGAACCACTCTGTAGAATTAAAACCCAGAATTGCAACACTGTGGAATCGTTCAAGGCCGAGCTTGGGGGAGAAAAAAGGAACAACACAGTCAACATTGTTGGAAAGAAAGAGAAAGTCTTTTTTTTCCCACTGAGATGTGAACTTTGCTAATTTCTCCCACCCCCCCCCCCCACCCCTTTTCTCATTTAGCTTGGCATGCATAATTTCTAGGTCATTTAGCACAGAATCCTTATCCCATGCCAACTTTCTGGCTGTTTCTCTGATCTTAGCTGCTGTTGTTGCTTTTCTAAAACCGTGCGATATCTTGCTGTTTGAACATTACTTGCCTTACTTAGTCAAAATAAAAAGAAGAACATCAGCGACTGACTTCACTTATCAAATCAGCTGTGGCTTCATGAGGACGGGAAGGACCAAATTATCAGGGCTTGAATATCTTTGCAGTTGCTCAAAAGGCAGTTGGTCCACAATTTGCAAAATAAGGAGGAGGAGGAAAAGAAAAAGGAGAGGAAGGAGAAAAACAGGAAGGTGGTGTATGCCAAAAGTTTGTTAGGTGAGAGGCTGCCACAGGATTCCTGCTGAACTATTATTCTTTATAAGAAACATTGCAAAAATACAACGGTATGGATCATTCTTAATATAAAGATAAAATTGCATGAATACCTGCACTCACTTAAATAAGTCTGTCATCCCAAAGACCACAATGTGGGTATCGGGTATAAAAATCCAAAGTTTACCTTCAGGAAACTCTTGGCTGCTTTCCGAGAAAGGTGGTAATACTCCGAAAAAGTAATTTTTTCCCATTTCCCATCCTTTTTGCTGGCTAATGCGTTGAGAGACTTGTATTTCTCTAGAGATTCTAGGAACATCTGGTGAATTGTTATCGGCGCTTGTGAGCAGGTGGGGTCCCTTCGCAGCTTCACCTGCCCATCCGCTGTTGTGGTCCAGAGAGGAGCTAGGAAACAAGAGCAGATTATTCAGTAACATCTGGAGATGAAAAACACCTCTAAAGTCCAGCTATGTTAGCTCCTCTTTTTTCATTGGGACCATATAGGTATTTGCAAGAATATGCAACGGCATTTTCCTGGATCTCCTTTTTCCTTTACAGCTTGTTTTCTTTCATAAACAATCTTTCTATATTGTAATCCTACAGCTAGGAGGATTTTGGTTTTACTGATTTATAAAACAGAGCAGGAGCCAATAAAGGAGAATATTCGTAGTTCAAGGCTGACGTATGGAACCCTTGGGGCTCCCTGAGCTTGGTTGTTTCTTGTAGACGTTTAATTCATCACTTGAGACTTTCAAGAAAAGATTGGACTGCCATTTGTCAGAAATGATGTAGGGTCTCCTGCTTGAGCGGGGGGTTGGACTAGATGACCTACAAGGTCCCTCCCAACTCTGTTAATCTGTAATTACCCAACTAAGTAACATCATCAGTGCTAGAAAGAAATGCAAGAACCCCATTCACTCCTGGCACTGATGATGTTACCTGGTTTGATAATGAAACGTCTTACAAGGAAAATAATCAAGTTCAGACAGCCTGAGGGTGGGAGCCTTTGCAATATGCAAGATAGAAGAGGAAAGAAAGAAATTCAAGAAAATCATTTCCCCAAAAGTAGATTAAGTAATGTCTTCAATCTACTTCAGTGTATCATAAATAAACCAATTCAAATTCATCCTGATATTCATTTACCTGAATCTTTTTCCAGACTCATTCCAGAATCTTTTCAGATGCTCCGGACTTCTGACAAATTTCTGTGAAAGGAAGGAAATTTTAAAACTCCCTTTAAAACTCTGGTGGTTAGTAGTTTGCAGAGGATCAAGTTCTCAAAAGACAAATCGCAACAGGCAATATTTTTTATCTAAAGCAGGGTAGAAACATAGAACAATATTCTCCCAAGAAAGTTCCATAGATAAATCATTTTAGCACATCAGCATTTACTCTCTTTTTCACATGGGAAATTATTCTTTGCAAACAAAAGAATACAAAAAAAAAATCTTATTTTTCTCAATAGCAAGTATTACAATTCTGTATCTTTTTCGGAACGTCGTTTTCCTTTCATACAAAAAGCTGCACTTATTCTCTATTACAGAATCCAGCTTACCCTCCCTGTCCTGTTTCAGTCTAATTTTACTGCTTTTATAGAAAACACATTCACACATACCTATATTTTAGACCATTGAATTATTTTATCTTCAATTTGTCAAAAGACAACTTAAAAAGTTGCCATTCTGGAAGGACAAAACTTTCTTTGCTGCCCGAGTTAAACTCAACCAAACAAGATGTGGGTCAAAACTTTTCCCAAGTCTTTTGATTTTTTTTTTTAAAAGCTATTATCGGTTTGATGTGTTACTGTCCTGACATCCTTATTTCTAAACAAGCACCTATACAATACAGCTTTCACCTGTTAAGAAAAAAGCAATTTCTCCCGGCATTATTTTACCTGATTGCTTTATTTCTGGTCCTCTTTTGTCCTGCTACAGTTCTTTCTTCAGAAAACCCGTCAAATTGACCTAATTCTTTAGAGACAAGCCGAGTGGCATCAACTCTATTGAACTCTGGAGGCACAAAGTGCTGATTTTAGTTAAGAATCCAATGGGCATCAACTTGACCAGACATGCAGCGAGATAGATTGGGGATCTCCAAAGCTTTTCCTGGTCAACTTGCTGAGAAACTCCTTCGTGTTCAGCGGGGACAAACTTTCCTTTCATTCGGTGTTTTTTTCATTCTCCGTGAGAAGAATCTCAATGACGTTTGTGATCAGACATCCCTTGGCACAAAGGAGAATTGGAAGTGGCAGAGTCATGGGTGTAGACCCTGGAGGAGTTAAATTTCTAGCAAGAACAGATGATGTGGTTACAAAAGCGTTTCGGCAACTGTGGTATATCAAATGCCAATGTAATTTATTATGAAATTAGGATTCAGCTTTTGATATTTTTATTTCCCCATTTCATTCATTCATTCATTCATTCATTCATTCATTCATTCAAACTTTAAACCATCCCATATCTGAAGCTCTCAGGTTGGTTTGCAATGAAACACCGTAGGCAAAACAGTTGGAATGAAAACCTAGGCAGATAAAATGCAGACTGGAAACACCCTACAGATTCAGCAATGACAAGGCAATACAAATAAAAAGCCAAATAAAATACAGGGGAATATAAAGGGGTCTTTACCTGAGACCAAAATGCTGCTACAGTGGGGGGTGCCCATTGAGCCTTTCTGGGGAAGGATTTTTATCAATGAGGGGACCACCACAGAAAAAGCTCTTTCTCTTCTAGATCCGAACTCACCTCCACTGGTGGAGGGACCTGGAAGAGGGCCTCACTGGAAACTCTTAAGGCCCAGGTAGGTACAGAAATCAAATTAAATAAAATAGCATGCAGGTAACATGGTCCTATACCTTTCATTCTGGTTTCCTGCTATTTGCTGCTAATTCTGTGAAAGTCTCATTAAGTCAGTGTTGATTCCTAGATATGGTTCCACATATCTACGGTAGATTTTCTCCATGATGATCTATCCCCAACTTGGTCCTTCTGGTCTTCCAAGTGTGCCCCCATCACCATTATAACTAAGTGCCACCACCTTACTTCTGGTTGCCTTCTTCTTCTTTTTCCTTCCATCTTTCCCACATCAGAGCCTTTTCCAGAGAGCTGGGTCTTCACTTAAATTTGTTCGAAACCGAGTAATTTGAACCTGGTCATTTGATTCTTGAGTAAGAATTCTGGGTTGGTTGGTTGATTGATTCAATGATTCATCTTTATTTCTTGGTTGTCCATGGTATTCTCAAAAGTGAATGGAGATTGTCCATCATTCAGGTCATGGTTGTCCCAAAGCTGCTTTTTTAAGAGGCAACTGGACTTTTTTGTTTTTCCTTGAAAACGTTTTGCTTCTCATCCAAGAAGCTTCTTCAGAACCGAGGAAGCTTCTTCAATAAGAAACGAAACGCCTTCAAGGAAAAACAAAGAAAGCCCAGTTGCCTCTTGAAAAAGCACCTTTGGGATATTCTCAAAAGTCTTCCCCAGCACCAAAGTTCAAAGATCAATACTCTTATCATTCTTCTCCATTTTAGAAACTAGTAAATTGTAATAATATACAAAAATAGAGTTCACTGTTCCCAAAACTGTATCCATGCCCTTCAGCCAATGTACAAATTACGATCTGATGAAACAAAGATGACCTGCTTTTTAAAGGCTGGTGGCCATCTAATTTTGGGGTGAGATTGACAAGGAGTTTGGGTGGCCCTCCAATGTAAAAAGGCAGCTTTTTATTAAGAAGAAAAAGAATACCGTTTTTTTCAATGTTATTTTTCCTAGGGTTTAAAATAAACTCTACTGAAATGCACCCAGCTGAAATTATCCTGGGATGATCGTTGTTGTAAAATTACTTGACAGTGGCATGTATTAAATATGGATATTAAATTATTGTTGTGATTGTGCTAAGCCTCTTTTGAGGTGTACGTTTCCAGTTCTGGATTATCCCAAAAGTGGAATGAAGAACCAGATCATTTCTGGCAATCAAAGGGAGTTTGAAAAATCCCAGAAAAGTTTGTGGACCAACTGGAAGTTTGGAGTCCTCCTGAATTGTCCAATGCTATGATGGAAGAAAGAGGAAAATTAGACCAGCAGAAAAAAAAATGTCTCTAAGCAACAATAATGACGAAGGATAGCAACATTCCATGAATTCCGTTTGACAGTTGGCTAGAGAAAAAAATACATGGAAAATTCTCTGATGGGCTATTCGATGAAAGGATGAATCTTCTCCGCTTCTTTTCTTCTGTAGCAGCCTCTCCTAAATGATCACCGCTGTTCCATCTTCTGCTTCCCAAATTGGTCAAAATGTCTTCCAGCATTTCATTCATTAGATGAATTGTCACATTCAATGCAGGTAAGTTCCTTGCCAAAATGACAGGGTTGTTACAGTCACTGCTCTACAAAAACTTAATTAAAACGGGTTAAATTAAAAATAAATTAATGGATATCCACGGGTAAAAAAAAAGTCAAGGTGGTAACCGCAGCTCCAAGCTCCGCATTGTATGTAAAAACTGGAGCAGATTTTCACACGAACCAAGGTAGCCAACATCTCCAAATCTTTGACCTTCCTTTGTGAACACCCTTGAATCAACGCAACCCTTTGCTTTGCTTCTTATAATTTCTGCGCCTTTTCTCCACTTTTATGCATAAACAAAAGTCATGGAGTCCAAAGAAGATAAAAGAAATCCTGGGCAGTCATCATCGGAAGATAAAAAAGCCAAAGATCAGTCCAATGAAGAGAAAAAAAGTAAGGAATCCAACGCAGAGGACAAAAAGCCTAGTGAAAGTCCCACGGAGAACGAGGAAGCCAAAGAAGCTGATGGCCACGCAGTAAGGCAAAATTATCATTTGTTTCATGCATTTTCCCTTTTAATTCCTCTGTTTCCTTCCAGGGCTAATTTTTATAATTATCCCATTTTTCATAAAAGCAATTGTAAATTAATTTAGAATAAAAGCCTGGGGGCCATGCAAATTCTCTCCCAATAGAAGAGAATATTGGCAGCTCGAGGTTGAACCGTGGGGTTCTTGACAGTGCTGAGGTTCTTGGTGGTTGGCTTGTAGGCATCTCATTACCCAGCTTGGCACCATCATCAGTCCCAGCAGAGGTAGTGGGGGTTGGCTGCTGGTTTATTTGGAGCAGCTTGCCCTGCCAGTTTTGGTGAACCTGTAGTTTTTTTACCTTCAAGGAGGAAACTAGATCCCCAAATTAGATCTGTCCTGGATGAGGCTGGTCTAAAATACAGGCAGTCCTCTGTTTATGACCATCCATTCAGTGATCGTTCAAATGGCATTGAATGGAGGACTTAGATGGATCCTTGGGAGTTCTGGCCGTTGCAGTGACAGTCGGTTCACCTAATTATGATCTTCCAAATTCTTACAAGCAAAGTCAATGGGGAAGCCAGCAGGAAGTCCTAAGTCATGTTCACGAGGTCCTCGCTTAACGACGGCAATCAGACTGCCAGAATTGCCACTGCATCCAGTATATGCAGCAATAGAAGCGCCCCGAGCAATTGGATCCAATTCCTTTTTAAATATATATATATATTTATTCTTATCCATATTCTTGTTCTTATTATTTGGGGCTCTGTTTTGCATCGCATTGAAGCGCTCCAAGTAGGCTTGCTACTTTTGTTCAAGACAACGCTGCGAGGTGGGCCAGGCTGAGCAAACTGGAATCGCCTGGCTGAGTCCCTCCTTCAGCCTTCCTAAGGCCCTGGACCTGGACAAGATCACTCAGCGGTCAGCACCTGCCGGGACTGCCTGTAAAAAAAAAAAAAAATCTGAATTTTAAAACATTCCTTGAGGAAAAGTCAGGATCCCTGAGGCGACGTTACGCTACTAGCGTAGCGAAGCCGCTTCTGAGCCGGCCGGTGCGCAATTTGTGCCCCCTTTACGCGGGCGGCGTAACTCAGGCGGGCTTTTTCCTTAGCGACGGGCGGGCGAAGCGTTGCTGAGGGGAGCGTGGCCGCCTTTGCTCTCGCCCCGCCTCCTTCCTTCCCCGCCGCGCGCCGATTGGTCCGTCTACCGCCCGGCCTCCGAAGCTCCGTCCAGACGTTTCTAGAGGCTGGTCGTGACGTCACGGCGGCGGCGTTCCAGAAAGTTCGCGGCGGCGCCTATAAAAGCGCCGCAGCCGCCCGGCGCCCCGCCAGGATCCAGAGGAGCGGGGGCGGGTGGAGGTCCGGTGCCCGGGCGGCCAAGGTGAGACTCCGGGCTCCCCGTGAAGCGTTGACCGGGCAGAAGAAGCTCCGGAGGGGAGAAAGACATCGCCTCCATGGAATCATGACATGACATGGGATGGGGGGACACCTTGGACTACAAATCCCATCATCCGCCCGTCACGTGTTGCGCCCTTCTCCCGATGGTCTTCTCCCTTCGGTGTAGGCCGAGGGCGACGGGAGAGGATTGCGCTTGCACCTTTTAACGTGGGTGGGCGAGAGCGGCTGTGGATGATGGGCTTTGTAGATCCAAGGAGCTGGGGAAAGGAGGAGGAGGAGGAAGGTCTGGGCGAGGATCATGGGGGGGGGGTGCAGTGCGGAGGGGGGGGGAGGGGGGGGGGGGGGGTGTTTTTGCGGGGGGGGGGATCATGGGCATTGTAGTCCAAACGGGTTTTTATTTTGAGCTCTGGCTGGGGATCATGGGAGTTGTAAAGCTCTCAAGGAAGAAGGGGATGAGCGGGCAGAGAGGTCCCTTATATTGGTGTAAAATTAAGGAGGGAGAATTGCAATTCCAGGTTGGGGGGGGAATGAATGGCTCTGCAGAGAAGCCATAATTGGGTTACTCCCCCCCCCAGGATCTGAAAGACCCCCCCAGAAAAAAAAACCACCCAGGAGACTTTCATTGGAAAGGAAGAATATTAATAGGATCAGAATATTAATAAATCCAGAATTTGGGGAGAAACCCAAAAGATCGAGATTAACAGTTGGAAGGGACCTTGTTAGGTCATCTAGTCCAACCCCCACCCACCCACCCCCAAGGAGACCCTACACCATTTTTGACAGATGGCAGCAGAGTCTCCTCTGGAAAGCTTCCAGGGATGAAAGCTCCCACAAGTTTTTTGATAATATCCCCAAGGTGCTTTTTCAAGAGGCAAAAAGGTGAGTGATGAAAAATTGCTCATCCATCCTGGGTCCCATTGGGTCGTTTTATCAGGATAAAATTTGAGATTTTGGGAAGAACGGGAGGAAAAGCCTGGAAAAATGTAATCTGTATTTATGCTTCCAGTGCAGTTCTCCATAGAAGGGCTGGAAAGGAATTCCCCCCCCCCTTTCACCAGCCGCCTGAGCCGGCTTTATTATTAAATTTATTATCAAATTTATCTACAGCCCATTTGCACTGATTTGGAATAAAGCAGGGTTATGTGTATTGCGGATCAAAAATAATCCAGAGGGGGTAAGGGTGGGAGTTATACAATGTTGGTTTTGAAGTATTTCTAGCAAGACTCCCTGATTCTGGAACAGCTTTGTTCCCTAACTTGCAAGATTTGTTTTTCTCGCCATGTACATGTAATACATCCGAAGTAGACTCTGTTGTTTCTCTGTCTCGTATAATATATGTGGGTAGATGCATAATTTGGTATTTATATTTTTTCATGTTTATGTAGTGTATATTAGTGTATATTTATGTAGCGTATAATGGAAGGGGTGACCCTTTGAGAGCTGTATGCAACGAAGTTTCATTTTAATGTACACCGATTAGTGTACATTCGAAGAGTTATTCTAAATTCTAAACTGGTACATAAATATTATTAATAAGCTTGTGACTGTTCGTAAGGGCTGAAATGCTGTGCACCTGTCATTTTCCATGGCCTTGTGTTGTTGTGGGGAAAATAGAAGTATTGGGTATCTTTGCTGCCTTGAGTAATTTTTAAAAATAATAAGGTGAGGTATAAATAAATCTTAAAAGAGGTTTTTAAGTGTGGCGTATATGCTGCCCTGGCTAGTTATTGTGTGATTTAGTTTGTGAATCAAGTTTATGAAATAATTGAGCCATAAATGCAAGAACTGTCTCTGTCCACACACACACACACACACCCCACTTCAAAATTGCATCCAGGTCAATAATTTTTTTTTTCCAATTTCAACAGCAAGATAAGCATTTGAGATGAGCAATAACATGTTTCACAACAAGAAAAAGAGGTCACTCATTAAGCGATGATTAATTATGCATGGAATTGTTAATTTGTTTAAGGTTGCTTAAAGAAAATACAAAACACAGGTATCCTGTGGGTGTCCAACCTTGGCAACTTGAAGACCTGTGGACTTCAACTCCCAGAATTCCCCAGACAGCATGAAATCCACAAGTTGGATACCCCTGACCTAGACCGTAACAGAAAAAGTAGAATTCTGTGTGTGTGAACAAAGGAAAAAATGCCCTTCCAATAAATAAAAAGAATGTTGAACTCGAAATATTGGGGCTAAGGCATTGAGTGAATGGTTGGTTTGTTTCTCTCGTCCTCTTAGGCAACCATGGTGAAGGAAACGGGATATTACGACACTCTGGGAGTGAAACCCAACGCCACCTCCGATGAAATTAAGCGTGCCTACCGCAAGTTAGCATTGAAGTATCATCCTGACAAGAACCCCAGCGAGGGCGAGCGGGTATGAGCTGAAGTTAGATGGGGGAGACACTTTGGGGTCAGCCTTAGCATCCAGGACCTAAATGTGCCTTTGCTGTGTAATCTGTATAATCGACTGACTGTATTTGTAGTAAGGAGGCACACAGTTCACCAAAAGAAAAAAAAAATGCTGCTTATGGAAGAGAATATTTGTAGTTTGAGATTGGACTCTGGGATCCTTGGTGCTCACTGAGCTTGGCAGTTTTCTTGCAGACATTTTATGACCCAGCTAGGTAACATCATCAGTGTCAAGGGCTTAAGTAGCATACTGATCATGTTACCCAGTTGGGTCATGAAACTTCTGCAAGACAACCAAGCTCAGAGGGCCCTAAAATCGCTGCTATAAGAGCTTTCAGGATGGACCTCTGTTTGAACAGGTTGCATAGGACAATCACCCCACTCTAACCTGATTCTTGCCTTGTGGAGTCCATAGAATTGTACTACAGGGTCCAGCAACTGACGCAGTTGTAAAGTGTGACATCATGTCACTGTGCTGACATATGACGACAGTTGGAGAAGCGTCAGTTGCAGTTGATAGGCAAATCCAATTTGCAACCTCCTGCTGGCTTCCCCAGTGACTTTGCTTTTCGGAAACCAGGAGTGAAGGCCGCAGGTGGCAACAGTGTCACTGCAAGCAGCAGCCACAGCTACCAGGAACAGTCCTAGGTCCCCTCATTCATTGCTACTATAATTTTGCTCCTTCAACAAGGTCATTTCCTGCTAACTTTGGTTATGGGGAAGCAGGCAGAAAGTTATCTCGCCTAGCAACTGTGGGATTCAAGTAATGATGGCAACCAGGGCTCTGCCTGTAAGCAATGCAGTCTCACTTTATGACCGCTTAACGGCAGAAATCCCACTCCCAAACAGTAAATTGAGGATTACTTGTATTAGAAAATTGAACTCTTGCTTCTGATAATTGTCATCCAGGTTGGTGCTGATGGGAATTGGGAGTACATCTTTGATTTAGACCTGGAGGCTTACTGCCTGAAAAATAATCTTGTTCTATTATGCAATTATCCTTATCAGACTTTTGAGCTTTACATTTGACAGAAAAGCAGAGCGTAATTATTTTTAAATAATGGGTGTAGCTGGTATTGCAATTTTACCTGGGAACCTGGTTCAAAATATCCAGTAAGTTTAAAAAGAGTATTTTCGTTTGTTTCATATATTTGAGATACTAACAAAGTCCAATTTACATCTGGTGGAAAAGCAACAAATATGAAACTATCAAGCTTCATGGCAATGTACTATAGAGAGGAAAAGTTAATTGATGAATGCAAGTTATGCATGAACTTTTAATTTTCAGCTAGAAAGCGAGTCTTTAACATGCTGATGTTGGATCACAAAACAATTTGAGGGGGGGATTGCTTTTAGCAACCACACTTGCAACTTTTCTGTACGAGCAAAAAAAAAACCTGTTAATTTCTAATGAATAAAATCTATCAAACTTGTCACACGTGCATATTTTCATTTCAGCACTGATTAAAATGGCCTTTCTATCTGGAAACGGGGAGTTTGTTTGTATTTTGGCAGGGAACATTTAATTTTTTGTATTTTGCTCGAGTCCCAGACACAATATCCAGCTTCTTTGGATTATAAATAAAACGGTGGTTGATTGCAGTTTTGCTGTAACACGGTGTAGCATCTTTTGTGATCGCAGCCTGCGGTGCACGGCTGGGCTGTGATACAAAGCTGCATTACCTAGCTGTCTGAGGCTGCAGTTTCATAGTGTACATAACTTGGAAATAATCCCGCTAAATTCAAGAGAGTTTATTTTTGAGCAAAGGTGCGTAATGCAAAAGCATTGAATTCAGTCTTTTCCCGGGTGGACACGCCAAATTTGAAGGAAATGCCGACATGTTTATTATCTCCAATGATTTCTAACAATGCACTGATGGAAACTTTGAAAAGGGAATAATTGCTTTGAGGCTGGGAAGATGAAAGCTATTTCATGGAACTGCTTTAGCCAGTTCTTCATGCCGGATGTGTTTCCTGTAATGCAAATCCCACTCAACATTGCATAAGAACAGGTAACTTAATAGTCTTGGATGATGTTGTGTATACATTTAATCACACACTTTTGAGGTGGGATCTGAAGGATTGATAAAGGGCCAAATGCTTCAAACGTTTTTTGTCCAAAAATTAAAAGCATTGTATATCCAGGGCCATTGCATTAGGCAAGTTGCAGAAGATAATGAAATCCTAACTTGATTATGTCCACCGTCTAGTTCGATGATATATTTATATAGCTATAGCAGCGGTGAAAATTTCATAATAAAAGAAATAGGAGCAAGATAAAACATGCTTGCAGGCCAAAAAAAGGAACATCTTTCAACTCTGAAGTAAGTAGAATTTGATGTTTCCATTTACAGAAATGGCTAAAGTTGGCAGAACTGAATTTTCAATTTAAGATACAGGCACTGTTCAAAGAGTAAGAAAAGTATATTGGATTGAAAATTCAGTTCTGCCAATATATTTTGTATAACTGATGGCATTTGAGAAAATAAGCTGCAATTTGGGATCTTCTCCCAGGCAAATCATTCTCTCCTACCCAGCAACAAATTTCCCATGTTAGTAAAAGGCTGCACTTAATACAGTGTCCTTGGCTGATGCTCCCCAGGAAACAACCTTGTGCGTGCATCTTCACACTGACTGAATTTTTTTTTTCTTGCTGATGATAATCACAGACAGAATGCAAACAAAAACTGGGGAATCTCAATTCCCAAGAGGCTTCTCTTGATCAATGACTAGATTCCCAGGCTCTTCCCTTGTAACTAAGAAGCAGAACAAGAGAGAAAGGATGCGAAGGAGGGAACATTGTAGGAATTACTGATTTTCAGATGCAAGTAGAGTATTTGCTATAAGGAGAAACTGGTGTTAACACCTTTGTCTTTAAAGTTGAGGAACAGAACAGGAGTCCATAGCTTCATTTTGTGCTGCACAAGTAAACGGAGAAAGTAAAGGGAAAAATGAGCCTGTTCCTTGGTCAGTTATTGTCCACTCAAAAGTCTGCGCTGGAAGTCCTGTGCCTCTAAATCACCTCCTGTGTCTCTGCAAATAGGTGTAGACACAAACGCACAACTGTGCGCACACATGCAGTTAGGTGGAGATGGGACAGTTACAGATCTTCCAGATGCTTTCGACGTAAGCTCCGGAATCTGTTACTCATCTCTTATTTTTTATGGCTTGCGAGAAGCTTCCAAATGAGCTTTCAGTTCATATGAAAAACCCTCACTCTGGAAATGGTTTGTCATGAATGCAACTGCTTGAGGGCTCCTGGATTGGAGCTGAAAGGTGAAAGGGATGCAGTATGCTTCCTCCTACATGCTGGGGTAGACCAGGTGTCTCGATAGAAACACACACACACACACACATATATATATATATTTAAAAATTGGTATTTCAGCAAACATAACCAGAAGGAGCTCCAAGCACCACAAAACAGGCACCTTAGGAAACCTAGGGAATGTCTGCCTGCTGATCTGAGATCTACACCTTTTTTAAAAAATCTGAAATGTGGATGGTGTGCTATTCTCGTATATGGAGGTTCAGCCTTTTTTTTTTTTAAGTGCGTTTTCCCTGTGGTGCTAGCCAGTTATTCAGAGGGTCTCTCTCTTCTCTCTCTCTCTCTCTCTCTCAGTTTAAGCTCATTTCCCAGGCTTATGAGGTCCTGTCGGATCCGAAGAGGAGAGACCTCTATGACCAGGGTGGCGAGCAAGCCATTAAAGAAGGCAGCTTAAGCGGCGGCAATTTCTCTTCGCCCATGGACATCTTCGACATGTTTTTTGGCGGCGCTGGCCGGATGAATCGAGAAAGAAGAGGTAGGGGCTTGGGTTTTAAAGTGGCCTCGCTTCCGTTCCAAGCACTGGAGGGAAACGGGAAAGGTTGTAACGCGTTCTACGTCAATGATCGTGCAGGAAAAAGTACTTTTTTTTTTAGAGCAAACGTTGATTGCGCTTCAATACAGATGACTTATTCAGAGCCAAGTGGTTTGCAGGGGAGAGAATTGCAAAGCTAAAGACTGTAATACGGCAGGGTCTCCAACCATGGCAATTTTACAACTTGTGGACTTCAACTCCCAGGATTCCTCAGCCAGCATGTCCACGAGTCATAAAATTGCCAAGGTTGGAGATCCCTGCTGTAATAAATTGATGGCAGTTTAGTTTTCTGTCTGGACGTTGAAAATTCTGGGTATTTTTCCGTGCTAGTGAGTTCCCCTAGAAATTTGTGCAGGAAGAAGGTGGAATCAAGACATGAGTTGCGCAGTTTCAATTCTGCTTGAGAAATGGTCTACTAGATGAGCGAATGCACTGCTTTGGAACAATAATTAATTTGGGAGACAAATTTTATTGCAACATTAGCCATGGGGCAATAGTTTGAATTGTCTTTAACTTTTCTGCAAAGGGGCGTGGGCTGCCTTGTTAGGTGTACCGGTAGCTTTGAAATGCACCTTGACTATTGTTAATTGTCTGCACTTCTGTTTTCCTCAGGTAAGAATGTTGTCCATCAGTTGAGCATCACGCTGGAAGACTTGTACATGGGAGCCACAAGAAAACTAGCCCTTCAGAAGAACGTTATCTGTGACAAGTGCAAAGGTAATACACTTCTTGATTAGATGACTGCAAGAATTGAGTACAAAAAGTCGCCCCTTCTCAGGAATTTTAGGAACTGCTCTGTGCCTTCTTGACCAAAAATGCTGACCATTTCATACATTTTAAGACACCAGCTGTCGTTCAAGTAAAGCAGATTTTGTGGCGCTGTGACTCACCAGGAATGTTTAATCCAACCACAGGAATAGATCCCCAGTCTATATTTGTGTTAGGCTCATCTCGGGGAGGTTGCCTTGAACTAACATCGCGAATGAAATCAGCTGGGGTATTTCTTTTTTTCCCCCCTGCTTCAATCCAGCTTTTTCAGAGGCCTTAGTAAAGCTAGCGTAGTAACAGAATGTTGCCATTAAAAGGAAGCATTAACAAAAACAAATCTGTTTAGAAACCAGACTCGTGAAAGCTCCTCCGGTTGGTGAAATTTCATACCGTCCTCTTAACAGGAGGATTCCCACACACAGCTTTTCAGAACCATTTGCAAATAAGAGAAATTTATAGATACGTTTTGCTTAATAGTTTGGTCGAGTGTCCTACACAAACTTGATAGGCCAAATAAGGCAATTTTCTTGAGTTTTTTTTTCAGAATGCATAAAAAAAATACCCCTAGTTTTACACAGAGACATAACTGTGTATCAACTGAAATGCAGGTCCCTCCCCCCTGAATTTTAGATATAATGCTGACCAGGGGTGAAATCCAGCAGGTGCTGACAGGTTCTGGAGAACCGGTAGCGGAAATTTTGAGTAGTTTGGAGAACCGAACTATAGAACTGGACTGAACCAGGAGCAACCCACTACTGGTGGGAATGGAGAGTTTGCAATATCCTTCCCCCAGGAGTGGGGAGGGAATGGGGATTTTGCAGTATCCTTCCCCTGGAGTGGGGTGGAAATGGAGATTTTGCAGTATCCTCTTGCCACGCCCACCAAGCCACACCACACCCACCAAGCCACGCCCACAGAACCTGTAGTAAAAAAAAAAATTGGATTTCACCACTGATGCAGACTTCATCCTGTTCTCACAGAGGAGTCTGCTGGAAACCCTATTAATTACCGTAGAGATCAGTATTCAGTTTGGGGAGCTGAACAAAACCCATTTTTATGTGTGTTATATGTGTTTCTTCCTCCAAGGTTATGGTGGGAAAAAAGGGGCCGTAGAAAAATGCCCCACCTGCAAAGGGCGAGGCGTTCAGGTGTTGGTCCAGCAGATCGGACCCGGCATGGTGCAGCAGATTCAGACCGTGTGTCCGGACTGCAAAGGTCAAGGGGAACGGATAAATCCCAAGGACAGGTGTACCAACTGCAACGGCAACAAGGTGGTTAGAGAGAAAAAAATTATCGAAATTCACATCGATAAAGGTAAGAGTTGGAATGTTGCAAGAGGGTGTGGGAGATGGCTGTGGAGTTCAGTTATGCTAGAGAACCTCAGAAGCTAAAACCTTTGTCGCCTTAAGTACCGGGACTTTTGAAACCCAGCAGACACGGCCTCATTTTGGTATCGCTGTTCTGGGGGAAAGTAACCTTTTTAAGTGGTTAAAACTGCACCTCTGGTTGTGAAAGGCTGTTCTTGACGGTCTTCGGAACAACATCTTGGTTCCTCGTAGTAATTTTGGGTGTATGCCAAACAGGGACCCCCCCCCCACCCCCCAATTCCTGTTCAACCACAGGCTTCTGAAATTTAATTTTAGGATTAGAACATGCAGACGGGCAACGCCGTCTTCAGTTCTTTTACATTCTCACTTGCAAACACAGACGAACGCATGAACGAAAGTGTGAAGGTGTTCAGTTACAAATTGCACCAAAATCCCCGATGCTCGGAAGAACATCACACAGAAATATCTTGCTTGTTAATTTTTAATTTTTAATTGATTTTAGTTGGGGTGTTTTAAATTTATTGGGCCAAAATTTGTTTAATTCTTTAAAAAAAAAAATTTAATTTTGTATATGTTTTTTATTCTTGGCTGTTCACCGCCCTGAGTCCAGTGGGAGAAGGGCAGTATAAAAATCTAATAAAATAAAATAATAAATAAGTAAGTAAGTAAGTAAGACATTTCCTCCCGTAGTGGTAGTTGAGTCAGTTGACTAAGTGAATCCCTTGGTTGTTATTCACACATGTTCATGAGTCAAGGGACTCCTTTCCTGAATTCAGCCTGAGTTTCTCTGCGCTCTCTGTTTTCTAGGTATGAAAGATGGCCAGAAACTCGTCTTTCACGGAGAAGGCGATCAGGAACCCGACCTAGAACCGGGAGATGTCATTATCGTCCTGGATCAAAAAGACCACTCTGTATTTCAGAGGAGAGGCAACGACTTAGTGATGAAGATGAAAATCCAGCTGACGGAGGCCTTGTGTGGCTTCAAGAAGACCATTGAGACGCTGGACGACAGGGTCCTTTTAATCTCCTCCAAACCGGGTAGGCTTGGCACCCTTTTTTTTTTTTTTTGGGTGCGTTTTTGTGTCAGTGGAGAGCTGGATTTACGGTTTAGACACAGTGTAACGCTGGCTCTTCCAACAGGGGAAGTGATCAAGCACGGAGACATCAAATGCATCGTAAACGAAGGGATGCCGATTTATAAATCTCCCTTGGAAAAAGGTTCCTTGATAATACAGTTTCTGGTAAGCAAGGCTTTTTAAAAAAAGGATTATTGAAGGCAGGAATGGAGGGGTTTCTAGAACCTTTCTAGGAGCCTGGGGAGGGTGAAAACGGCCTTCCCCACCCCCACCAGAGGCCGGAAATGGCCTGTTTGCCAACTTCCAGTGGGCCCAGAAGGCCCGAAAATCAGCTGGCGGAGCTGAGCTTGTGTGCCCATCGATATGGCTCCACGTGCCATCTGTGGCACGCGTGCCATAGGTTTGCCATCGCAGGTATAGGATCTCCTGTTTGATCGGGGCTGGACTAGAAGACCTCCAAGGTCCCTTCCAGCTTCTATTCTGATTGTTGCTGAACTCGGCATTGGTGAGGGAATGGGACAGTTTTGATAGCGGGGAATAAAGAAACCCCACATTTTTACCAGATTTAGTGTCGAATAACCAGCGATGGGAGTTTATACATCATGATGAATCTCCGAGCCATGAATTAAGAATCAGAATAGAAGCTGGAAGGGACCTTGGAGGTCTTCTAGTCCAGCCCCCTGCTTAAGGAGGAGATCCTATACCCATGATGGTGGGCATGCGGAGCCATTTCTGCGGGCATGCGAGCCATCTCCCTAGATCAGCTCCATTGTGCATGCGCGCACACTTCCCACCAGCCAGCTGATTTTTGGGTCTCTGCCACGCCATGTGGGAGACGCGTACGCATGCTGCCCCGCCCCACCCAGGAATCTCCACGCGGCCTGTTTTGGATGCCATGTAAGTTTAGGGCTTGCGCAGAGGCTCTGAGAGGACGAAAAACGGGCCATTTCCGGCTTCCAGAGGCTTCAGGGAGGCCTGCTAGGCCCAAAACGGTGTGCTGGGAGGGGATCGCACGCACAGGGGAGCACGCACATGCACGGGGGGGCGGGGTGTGCATGAGGGACATTGCATTACAGGTGTGTGTTATCGTGCGCAACGCTTTTGGCACCCAAGGAAGAAAAGGTTAGCCATCACTGTCCTATAGCATTTCGGACAAGTGAATCCATCCCAAAATGAACCAATTACGGCTTAGCATGAGCGAGCCAGACCTGTGGCAGTTCTGGCCTTGACTCGAGTTCGAATTCTCTCTCTTTCTCTCTCCCAGGTTGCCTTCCCCGAGCATCACTGGCTTTCCAACGATCAGCTCCCTCTCTTGGAAGCTCTGCTGCCTCCCCGGGAGGAAGTGATGGTTTCCGAAGAGATGGATCAAGTCGACCTGGTGGAATTCGACCCCAAAGAACGGACGTACCGAAACCACGGCGAAGCCTACGAAGAGGATGAGGAAGGCCCGAGGACGGGCGTCCAGTGCCAGACCTCGTGAACCGAGCAGGTTCTGGGCGCCTGGGGACTGTTCGTAAGAACGCGAGGAACCATCGCCGGGGGCTCCGTTGGCCAAGTTCGGCGCGACAAGAACGGCTGTATATTAGTTCTGTTTCATATTTATGTGTTTGTGTTGTAAAAAAAAAAAAAAAGAAGTGGATCTGTGTAACTTGAAACCCGAATGTGCTGCTGTTTGATATAAATAGGCTTTCCCCCCCCCCCATTTAACACTAAAGCTGGCTGAGGAATTCTGGGAGTTGAAGTCCACAAGTCTTAAAGTTGCCAAGGTTGGAGACCCCTGCACTCAAGGAACCATCCCAAACCTATAGTTTTTCTGGCTCTCCGGGGCTACGAAGAATGTTTGCTGGGGATGGTTAAACCAGAAGTGAGCGTTTTTGAGAAACGTGCAAATAAAGGTTTCCCCAGCAGTAGTTAAAACTTGAAACGTTGCCACTCCACTTTAACAAGATGGTCTCCAGATCCGCGATGGCGAACCTATGGCACAGGTGGCACACGGAGCCATATCTACGAGCACGCGAGCGCATGTGCGTGCTGGCCAGCTGATTTTCAGGCCTTCCAGGCCCACCGGAAGTCGAGAAACGGGCTGTTTCTGGGCCTCCGGGGGGGTGGGGAAGGCTGTTTTCGCCCTCCCCAGGCTCCTAGAAAGCCTCTGGAGCCTGGGGAGGGCAAAAAAATGGGCCTACCGGACCCACCATGTCATCACGTGCCAAAAGCGCGGGGGGGGGGTCATATGTGCATGCATGGGAGGACGGGGCACATTGAATTATGGGTGTGGGTACACACGTGTGCAATCCCCCCCACTCCACCCACTTTTGGCACGTGACGGCAAAAAGGGTTAGCCGTCACTGTCCTAGATTATCTAATAGGTATTTTATTAAATAAAACACAGGGACCATTTTCCGGCGTGAGCCCTGAATGGCTGGTTGCTGTGGATGGAAACTCTGCCACTACTTCTGCAGGGAATCTGACGAGTTTGGAAAGGGGTCCTTCATACACCGGGTGTACAGGCAGTCCTCAATTTACAACAGTTCATTGAGCGACGGTTCAAAGTTACAACGGCACTGAAAAAAGGGACTTAGTGACCCTTTTTTCACACTCATAACCGTTGCAGCACCCTCAGGGTCGCACGATCAAAATTCGGGCGCCTGGCAACTGACTGATGTTTATGACGGTTGCAGCGTCTAGGGTCACGTCATCCCCTTTTGCGGCCTTCTGACAAGCGAAGTCAACGGGGAAGCCGGATTCGCTTAACAACGGCGCGGCTAACTTAACTGTCGCAAGAAAGGTCGTAAAATGGAGCAAAGTTCACTTAAATGTCTCGATTAGCAACGGAAATTTTGGTCTCCGTAAGTCGAGGACTACCTGTATTCCAAATCCTTTACAGCAAAGAAACTAAAGCTACAGAGCCAAGGGCACATTGTGCGGCTTTGTTTGGCAGTAACACCGCAAGGATTGTTGCGACATCCCAGTTGTGGAGGCCACCCAGCCAACGCTAAAGGAACGGAGCCCAATTCCGATCAGCTACGGACAATCCTCCGGACGGATCTGCCCAACTTTGGAATGCCATATTTCAAATTCTGCAAAACGAGCCAGAGTGCCAAGAGGAAAAGACTGAATCGTTGCCCAGATTCCACAGCCAGGGTTTATTTAGCTTTAAAATAATTTTTTAAAAAAACACAAAATAGCAAAGTGCCTACCTAAATAATTTTCAGATTTCCATCTATTAGATTTTTCTTGACCGGGGGAAAAAAAAAAGAAGTATCAAAACACTTTCAGACAACCGACACCGTAGCTGTCGCAAGGAGAAATCTTAGACGGGACAATCGTAAACGTGTATTTCTTGATCGTCCCCAACGGAGACGATTTTTGAGCCGTTTCCGTTGTACTGCACGCCCCAGACCTACGGGCGGGAGAGAAGGGCCCAGCAAGTTAGAAGGAAGGACAGCCGGGGGAGGGGCTGCCCCAAAGACCACCTCCAGCTCTTGAACCTCCCTACCTGGTCTTGATGGTCAAAGAAGGTGTGGGCGCAGGTCCTGGATGGCACGTCCCAGACTTTGACCGTTTTGTCTGATGAGCTGGAATTTTTAAAGAATATAGGATGGGCTCGCTTAATTCCCTCATCTACAGGAGTCCTGCCGCAGTTGCTTATAAAAGTTACGTCCGCTTATGGAAAGTATTGATTAGATTTCTCACCTGCCTTTTGTACAATTAAAGTTCGTTGATCAGTAGATGTGGATGATAAATCTAGCAATGGCCAATTTTGGAGAGATTCCTTCCTTCCTTCCTCCCCTCCCCTTATCTTCCTTCTCCATCATTCCTTCCCACCCTCTCATTTTCTCTTTCCTTCCTCCTATTCCTTCATCTTTCTTCCTTCCGTCCATCCTTTCCTCATCTTCCTACCTTCTCCCCCTTTTATTTTCTCTTTCCCTATTCCTCTCTCCATCTTTTTCTTCCGTCCTTCCTTTCATTTTCCTACCTTCTCCCCCTTTTATTTTCTATTCCTCCCTCCATCTTTATCTTTTTTCCTCATCTCCCCACTTCCTTCCCTCTCTCTCCCTCCTCCCGCTCCTTCCTTCCTTCATCTTTGTACCTTCTGTCCTCTCATCTTCCTTCTCCTTCCCTCTTCCTTCCCTCTCTCTGTCTTTCCTTCCTTCCGTCCCTCAAATCTGTTATAGTTGTAGACAGAATATATAGCATTCTACTCACCTGGAAACAAAATGGGTATCATCGGGGCAAAAGGCTACGTTTAATACCCAAGATCCATGACCACTCAGAGTGCCTGCCAAGTTGGCATGCTGTCTGTTAATTCAGAAAACAGATTCTGGGTTAGATGAAAAAAGATCTTAAAATGATTTTCAGAATGCCCCCCCCCCCAAATCCCAAGACACTTCTAACGAAAGAGGTAGGAACAGACAGTCCAAACTAACAAGCTATCAATGACAGCTTGTAACTACAGGTAGACTTCTGAGATAGGAAAGAGAGACCCTGCCCGTTTTCAGGAGTGTTAATTCCTTGGATTCAGAAAATTTGGGAGCTGGAAGCAGAAATTCAAAGGAGGCACGGGGAACACAGCTAGCGGGAGGATTTATTGAGAAGGGAACTGAAGTGGTAGATGGTGGGTTCAACAAAGATATCACTCACACGTCATATATCTTGATGTAGCCATCATCCGATGCTGTAACAAGCAGCTGAGAATCTGGAGAAAACGTCAAGGAACGGATAGGCATGGCATGACCTGAAGTGGAAGAGAGAATCAATCGTCTTCTATCTTTGGCTGCTTGAAGGGCGATTTGCATCTTGCCTCTATAAATCAGTTGAACTACACCCAAAAATGTTTAATATATATATAAACATCTAAGAAATCAGGAGTTCCAAACCTCACCTTCCAGCGTGTGGACAAGTTTCCCAGTTGCAATATCAAAAATATTGATAATCCCGTCGATCGCTCCGCTGGCTAGATATTTTCCATCTGGACTCTAAAGCAATCAGAAACCGGTATTGAGCCCTGCCCTCTTTCTCCTACACCACAAGAAGCCAAGATAGTCACACCACACGCTACGTCTCTTCACCTTTTTGCCATTTACACAGGGTGAAATTTGGGGACTGAGCTTGATTACATTTTAATTTAGTACAGAGATCTTCAAACTTGGCAGCTTTAAGACTTGTGGATTTCAACTCCCAGAATTCTCCAGCCAGTTATCCACAAGTCTTAAAGCTGCCAAGTTGGGGGACCCCTGGTTTAGTAAGCAGCTTGAAAATCCAGATAGAATTATTTGCAGTTCATATTGTTCAAATGGCCTAAATGGGTTAAGTCATAAAACCAATTAACCAATTGTGTTTTGTGAATGCACCTACCAGCTAGAATGGAGAAGAGAAACTAATCACACAGGATAAGTATGGACGCTACCTATCTAATCAACACGTGGAACTTTAGGATTTCAGTGAAAGAAAAATCAGCTGTGGACCTCTGAAAAGCACAAAATACACCAGCCCTGATTAAGAGGGCACTGCTACATCCAATGAGGGGGCTAAAACCATTATAATTCAGCGCAAAGTATCTGGGACGATCTTGCAGAGTGGGAGTGATAATAACAGGTGAAAATATAGGCTTATTAAAAGACAAACCAAGCATCTTACGTAAGCGATACTTAGGATGAATTTCCCTCGAGTGTCCAAGGAATATTCCTTTTTTCCGGTCTCAACGCCAAATATGTTGACTTTTCCGATGTGGCTTCCGGTTGCCACGTACTGGGAATCGGGAGAAAAAGCCAGCGACCAAGCGTCCACTGCAGGAAAGGAAGCGGACAAAACTCTTGAGATATCCAGTAATGAGTACATTTATTTTTGTTGTGTGCAATATTTGCAAACAGGTCTGGCAAGGAAGCAAATTATATTCTGAATAAGCAAACAGGAATTAGTAGAGCTATTTTCAGTATTGATTAAGTCTTTTTAACTGGATCTGGGCTATGAGCTTATTGTTTATTGCTTATTGTTGAATACATGCCCCAAAGTTGCTTCCCCACCCCCACCCCCAAAAGGCAACTAGACTTTTTTTGTTCTTGTCCAAGAAACTTCTTGGATTAGAAGCGAAATATTTTCAAAGGAAAAAAAACAAACAAACAAGAAAGTCCAGAGTTGCCTTTTTGGATAAAGCACCTTTGGGACAACTGTGACCTGGATGACTGAGAATCTCCGGAGAATATTCACACTGTCCTCTTTATTTGTTGACTTATAAATAATTAAAAAATACAACAACAAAACCTTCACTGCAATAACAAAGGCAGCCATACTCTTTCATCTACTAATTAAAATGGAGAGGCCACAAGTAAATGACATTTGCTCAGTTCCCAGGGATGGGTTGAACGTTACCTGGCCCAGCATCTATTGACCTGATCTGTTTGCCAGTGTCCAAGTCCCAAATGCGGATGTGAGCATCTAAGGAGCTGGACGCAGCAACGGTGCCTGTATGACTAATGTCCACAGAAACGACACCCAGCTGATGGCCTTCTAAAGTCCACTTGAGATCCAGCTTCTCCTCATTCCTTGGAGAAACAAAAAGAAAGCATTTTTTCCCCTAAAGAAGAGGAAGTGGTACACCTATCAATCGTTGCCACGTGGTGTATCCAGCGATGCTTCCTGAAATTCCATTCCTGATACATACTCGGCTCCTAATATCATACTTTCCTCCCAAATCTGAACTAACAGTGTCCAATCAATCCTTGTCTGATTACCATTATCGAATCCAGAATTACATTCATAATATTATGACAGTTGTTAAACAGGTCCCACATGTGTGATCCCCACACCTGATTTTTACAGAAGTTGTTACGTGACTGCTGTAATCGTTGAGCAAATCATCATGAAATAAATACATTTTTGCCACGGGGTGCTTTTGGCCAGAAATGGGCAAAAAATGCTGACAAATCAGAGTCATGTGACTGCAGAACACTCTGAACAGCTGTAAATGAGAGCTGGTTGCCAAATATCCAAAATGGAAACATAGAGGGTCGGGGGGGGGGGGAGGGTTGTGCAGCAAAAACAAGTCATAACTTGAAAAACAAGTCATAAGTAGCTCTAGGGAGATCTGTTCTAACTTCAAATAGTCTCTAAGTGGCAGGTTGTTAATTTGAGGATTACCTGCATGTACTTCTCTTACTTGTTTAATACTACACAGCCTCCCTAAAAAAATCCTCCTGGAATTTACCATTTCCAGACTTTCACCAGATCATCCAGAGAACCTGAGATTACGGTCTCCGAGCCATCGTTTCTGTTTTTGCCCCAAGCAACCGACCAAATTGCATCGTCGTGTGCTAAGAGAGAGAGAGAAAAAAAAGATGATTCCGTTAGCCTCTCCAAAGAAACAAATTCCACTGAGCAAAGCCAGCCTCACCAGCACGAAATCTGAAAAACCCTCCACAAGGGAATTCCAGGCTTTGATGATTCGATGCTTTTGGGATCCTGTCCCTTCCCAATCGCACAGCTCGTTCTGGTGGACCACACCTTGTTCTGGTGGACCACACCTTCTAGCTCTGAAAAGCAAAATTGGCTTGACCTTCCCCACATGTTATGGATCCCCCTCTGTTAAGGAGGTCCATCTGGAGGGACCAAGAAGAAGAGCCTTCTCCATGGTGGCTCCCTCCCTGGGGGACATCATCCCCACGAAAATAAGATGGGCTCCCTACTTGGTAGGCTTCTGAAGATATAGATTTGCCAGTGGATCCGAGAACTCCAAGATGATACAGAGGCCATCAAGGGGTTAGTTTGATTGTTGTTGCCAGGCATTGGGGATCTACTGAGGTCTGTACTGGGGATTTATTGCAGATTTATCGCTGTAAACCACCCAGAATCCACCATAAGCAAGTTGGGCAGCCATATAAACATTCTTAATAAATAGAATACATATCTATAAATGTTTTTTTTTTTTTTTTAATTTGATTTATATGCCGCCCTTCTCCGGAGACTCAGGGCGGCTTACAATGTGTTCTTAGTAAACAGAATAAATATATACTTTTTTCAAAAGAAGGGATATCCTCGTTTCATCCGTGACCTTTGGATTCCTGAACCTGCCACCTTATTTATTTTTTAATTCATTTCATTTTTATGAAATTTATTGGCCGCCCATCTTTATTACCAGGTTAACTCCTTAAAAAGCACAAACACACCAAACACAATTTCGAAAAGCAGAATTTCCTTACCTTGTTCTTGCTTGAAGAGAATGCTATACTGAAAGGGGGAGGGGGGGAGAAAAAACACAAGAACCAATCAGCCCCTCCTCAATCCTCTTTCTTATAACACATGTGAAATAACACAACTGGGTGCCTCCTTACCTGAGTTGTCATTGTTTTTCTCTCTCACACACACACAAACCCACTGTGTGCATCAAAGCTCTGGAAGAAGAGGAAAATGCTGAGGGGAGAAAAAATATTTGATATATTTGATATCTTTTGATATATATTGATTATATATATATATATTAAAGAAAGAAGCAGACATTCTGTGAGCTCCGGAACTTAAAATTTTAAAATAATTAAAACATTTTATTTTACTAAGCTTTCATCAGCCATCTACTGACATCAACAGAGTATTAAACTACCATTACAGAGATCTCTGCCTTTATATGCCATTAATCAATTTGGCCCTTGCGCGTGTAATAGGCCCTTCCAGTCGTCTCCCACTTGTAATCAGCTGTGTTGTTTTTGCTCTCATCATGCTGGATGATGGAGGCTTCATTTCTACTGTTTCCTCCCTCCTAGCTTGCTTATCAGTGGGGGATGATGTTAGCCTGTCAGCCATTGCAATTTGCTGCCTTGTCCGTGACCCTGTGGTCGGCCAGGTTCGTTTCTCATTAATCCTATCTGTTACAGTTTGAGACAGTGTGTCTTGACACAGGTGTGCATCAGAAAACCACAAACACGGACCGTATTTTACATAATGTAATGGTACTTTAATACTCTGACGATGTCAGCAGATGGCTGACGAAAGCTTAGTAAAATAAAATTTTAATTCTTTTTTAAAATTGTAAGTTCCGGAGCTCGCAGGATGTCTACTTCTTTCTTTATTAACTTACCTGGAACTCGTATTTTTAGAATAGTTTGATATATATATATATATGTATATGTATATGTATATGTATGTATGTATGTATATGTGTGTGCGTGTGTGTATATATATATATATATATGTTTTCTGAGGTTTTCGTGGGTATTTGTGTGTAGGTCTTTGGTTATTCGGGTTTTCTCCCGCGTAAAATTGGAAGTGTCTTGGCGACATTTCGACGAAGTCTCATTCGTCATCCTCAGGCTGGTGTTTTCGGCTTCGTGCTTCTAGGAGCAATGTGTGATCGCAGCTGTTTCTTCCTTTTAACTGCCAGTGGGGGTGTGAACTGATTGGGTGGGAGCTTGGCTGTGTTCTGATTGGGTGGAGGTGTGTTCTGATTGGTTGGGGGCTTGGCTGTGCTCTGGCCCCCACTGGCAGTTAAAAGGAAGAAACAGCTGCGATCACACATTGCTCCTAGAAGCACGAAGCCGAAAACACCAGCCTGAAGATGACGAATGAGACTTCGTCCAACCGTCACCAAGACACTTCCAATTTTACGCGGGAGAAAACCCGAATAACCAAAGACCTGCATATATATCAATGCACACGCACATATACATACACACCATCAATTCCCCCATTCAATTTTTAAACTTACCATGGAAAAGATACACCAGGAAGCCAAGAACTTCATTAAAAAGCCACAGGCCCAGATGTGGGGCAGGAGGGGGGGGAGGGGTTGCCAGGCCGAGGACCCCCAGATGCGGGAGGGGGAGAAAGAAGGGGGTGCTATGGAAACCGACGCCCCCCCCTCCCATCCGCTCGCTCCGCTCCCCCAGCAACTCACCCGCCGGGGCTGCCCGTCGCCGCGCAACGCTGGTGGCGGCCGCTGATGACGACACGCTTTCGCCACCGAGGCGACGGCCAGAACGGCGCGGGGAAAGGGGTGTGGGAAACAGGCAAAGCGCTCTCTGCTGCCCCTGGGCGGCGCGGCAGAGAATCGCAGGGACCGCTTCCTTTGGCGCCTGGATCGCGGGGCTTTCGGTTGGGGAAGGTGGCAGCGCTTCCCCGCCGGGGAGGGGTGGGGTCTTGCAACCCGGGAATTGCATTAGGGACCCAGTGCATGCGCGTGCATGAGTGTGCATGCATTGCACACGTGTGTGTCCCCCTGCTTGCAATGCACAGCCTTTTGCTTTCTGCATCTTAACTCATTCGAGGTCGGCGTCTTGGATTTTCCTGGCTGGAGCCCCAAATAAGCGCCCCCCACCCACCCCCAAAGCTGGAAAGGGCAGCTTGCATGGTCTCGCACCTCTCCCCCGCCCTGCTGAAGCCGGCCTTCCAGCACACACACACACACACACACCCCAGAGCCTGCTCCCTCCCTGCAAAAGAGACCCCTCTTTGCCCTCCCCCGACTCTTAGGGTCCCCTTCCTCGCGGAGAAGGAGAGCAAGGGGCCCTCCTTTAACGGTCGTAAGTCGAGGTCTCCCTGTAACAGGTCTCGGCTTTTCGGGGGGCTTCAGTTGCCCCGCCCTCCCCCCGCCCCCGGAGCAAGGCCAGCCGGTCTCCTGCTCCCCAGCCTGACTCTTCCCTTCAGGGGGGAAAAAAAATCCTAACCGGGATTTGCACATCTGGATCCCTCCCGCCCCACATCTGCAGCTGGGCTGCCTGGCCCTGGCCAAATGTCTTTTGGTTTCCATGCCTGAGTCAGCATGGCAGATTCTTCTTCCTGGGGGAAAACGTAGAAAGAGACTCCAAGGAGCCCATTGGCCTTTCATTGCGCATCCTGGAACATTCGCGTCCTTTCCAAATGCCTTTGATATGCCTCATAAACCTGGTTGGGACCAGCTGGGGGGAAAAAATGGGAAACTTTAAAAGCAACATCATCAATGCTTCCGCCCTTCAGCAAATCTCACTGACAAAAGGAACAGAAGAGCAACCCAGTAATGCTTGAATAAAAATGAAGCACCCTTTTTCTCCCTGTTAGCACGGAAAGCTTCCCCGATTCACACATCTGTCTGTTCAGCCTTTTGATTTTGATTTTATCAGCCTTAACATCCTCTGTTGATCCGAAACAAATGATCCGCTTTCTTTGAGATTAAATGACGGGCACAGCTTTGGCAGAGCCAAAACTTCTATTTCTGAAACCCCAACAGCAATCGGAAGAAAAGTTATTTCTCGGTGATTCTTCAGCAGGTGGACAATTTGGGATCGGAGCTGATAAGCCCAGCACAAATCTTGGATCAAAAGATTGGGAATAGTCATCAGATCTTTCCTTTAGATATAGATTAACAGAGTTGGAAGGGACCTTGTAGGTCATCTAGTATTGATTGATTGATTGATTGATTTGATTTATATGCCGCCCTTCTCCCGAAGGATCCAGGACGGCTCACAACAAGAAAAAACAGAGAATACAAAAGTTAAAAGACAAAACAGAATATCCAATAAATAAGATTAAACATGGGAATACCAATTCAGATTGAAGATTTAAGAATTTAAAAGGCTACAAAATCAATTTAGAGTCAACCCAAGCCTGCCCGTTGGAAGACATGAAGGTTCAGAGGTCGGGGATTATCCGGAGCTCCAGGGGTAACGTATTCCAGAGAGTTAGTAGTACAACTCACCCACCCAAACAGGAGACCCTACACCTGTGATGGCGAACCTATGGCAAGCGTGCCAGAAGCCACAGGCCCAGAAGTACCCTCTGTGGGCACGCAAGCCATTGCCCCAGTTCAGCTCCGCCGTGCATGCACTGCACCTCCCCCCGGCCAGCTGCTCTTCAGGTCTCTGCAGCACATGCAGGGGGGGCATGGTGTGGGGGGGCATGCAGGGGGCCTCGTGCGCATATGAGGGGGGGCATGTGCACATGCGCAGGGGCAGGGTACATGCGGGGGTGTGCACGCATGCACGGGGCGCCTGAGTGATGTAGGAGGCTAATGCCTCCTACTAAGGCAGCATTTAACATCCAGCTGCCTGCAATTACTGCGAGTTCAATTCTCCCCAGGCTCAAGGTCAACTCAGCCTTCCATCCTTTCTAAGGTGGGTAAATTGAGGACCCAGTTGTGGGGGCAATAAGCTGACTTTGTATAAAATATACAAAAGTTTGAAGGCTATTGCTTAACGCATTGTAAGCTGCCCTGAGTCTCCGGAGAAGGGCGGCATATAAAAATAAATAAATAAATGCGGGTGGGCTGCATGAGCATTGCCTTTTGGTGGTTCGGGCTTTGGGCACTCAGTCTAGAAAAGGTTAGCCATCACTGCCCTACACCATTTCTGACAAATGGCAGCCCAATTTCTTCTTGTCCCATCTTTAATCTTTGTGTCCAGTCTTTAACCTTTGTGATGTTCAGGTTGAGTTTGCTTACTGAGACTGGATTTTTTTTAAAAAAAATCACGTAATCCCAACGTGCCTATGAGGTCTATCAGCCGACCTTTGGACGGCTGTCGGATTATTCGTTCAATTAAAAAAATAAACCCGGAGCTCCTTGAAGGGCAGCTTACATTTTGTCTCCCAGAACTGAACTGTCCAATTACATATCGGACCCTGAAGTTGACGCAGATAATAATTTTTGATAACGTCTTTTCAACCCATCTGGAGTTAGCTGGAGGTTTTAAAGAAGCATCCCCTTTGTTCCCTTGGGGGGAATTCGGATCTTTCCTAATGTGCAATAATTGAGATAATTGGCTATATGGGGTTTCTCATTAGGACAGGAAGACGGGCTAACCTTTCATGGACAAATCTCATTTAGGGAGATGAGATAAAGAAGCTCCCTTTGGCATATGGAGCTGCTGTTTTATGGGAGATGAGGATAACGGGGCTTTTTGTAATCTGTTGGAGGATGCGGAACAAAGGTTCATTTGCAAACAGTTCTATTCAGCTTTATTCTCCCAAAGCTGCTTTTTCCAAAAGGCAACTGGACTTCCTTGGGTTTGTTTGTTTTTTCCCCCTTGAAAACATTTCGCTTCTCATCCAAGAATCTTCTTCAGAACTTCAAGGGGAAAAAAAACCCCAAGAAAGTCCAGTTGCCTTTCAAAAGAAATCACCTTTGGGGCAACCATGACTTGGATGACTGAGAATCTCCACAGACATTATTCCAACTTTATTAATTATTTGCATCATATTATCTAAGGAGCAAGCTGACAAGAAAACTTTTAAGAAACTCTTGAGGTGCAAGGCCAGCTATTTGAAGCGATAAACTTAGTAAATGTTTTGTTTAAAATATTGCTGGTTTGGATGTAAGGAGGAAAAAAAGGTATTTATTTATTTATTATTGCGATTTATATGCCGCCTTTCTCCCGAGGGACTCAAGGCGGCTTACAAAATGACAATTTCCAATACAAATCACAACAAGATAAAAATTAAAATCAACACCCCAATTAAAACAGTTTAAAATTATAACAGTGTACACCCAATTCATTCCTAGAATGAATTCAGACTTCTAATAATCTCTGCAGCTTTGTTTGTTCTCTCAGCTTCTTCTAAGGCAGTGTTTCTGGATCTCGGGAACTTGAAGATAGGTGGACTTCAACTCCCAGAATTCCTCCAGTCAACAGTCTAACGTACTCAACTACATTTAAATTCAGCATCTAAGTCTCATCCCAGGGAGATGATAGCAATAGCACTTAAGACTTATATACCGCTTCACAGTGCTTCACAGCTCTATTCTAAGCAGTTTACAGAGTCAGCCTATTGCCCCCAATAAACTGGGTCCTCATTTTATCCACCTCGGAAGGATGGAAGGCTGAGTCAACTTTGAGACGGTCAGAATTGAACTGCTGGCAGTGGGCAGAGTTAGCCTGCAATACTGCATTGCATAACCAGTGCACCACCATGATCATCTGAGAACACATCCTGTTATCATTGCTATCCTTCCAGGGCTGCAGAGTCCAATAAGATCAGGAACAGCCAGTGAGAGTCAAAAAAGTCAAGATGTCTGTCACTGCATGCTCAAAAAGTCCGCCTCTTTTATATGCACCACACTGAAAGGTGAAGGACACACCCTGGATAAGAGATGGATAATAAGGACACTTGAGCTGATGTGCTCACCAACCCAACTCTTGCCACGTTAGCAAGCCATGATTTTCTCTGCATTAAGCATACTCCATAGCAAACACGATTCGTGCCCTCGGAGATGTCCAGAGGGCCTGGTGAGAACATATTGGCAGCCACGATGGTCCCTCCTCCTGCTCAATCAGGGAGATCAATTTAATAAATCAAAATAATTGCAGTGCCCATCAAAATCGGGGGTGGGGGCTTTCACTGTATCTGGGGGGGGGAGCTGTCATCTTGAATGTTTTGACTATAATCCGCAAACAGTTGTGTTCATTTTTGCCACTGAGAACACCGACAGATATTCCAAGACATTGGAAAGAAAAAACAACAGCCTCAAAGAAGTGGCTTTATTCTATTTTTTTTTTTTTCTGCATTTTTTTACAGGGCCCATTGCTATTGCTGCTGCTGCTGCTGCTGCTCCGGGTGCAAAACGCAATGACAACGGTGTCATTTTAATGAGGGCCTCGTGCACAATGAGCGGCATGGCAGAAGTGCCCAAACGCGTCTTGGGTTGCATCCGTCAGATTCCATTTCCCCGCTTGTCACGTCGTGGGGGAGCCCCTCCGTCCATTTAATTTGTCAGCGAGATGTACGACCGTCCTTCCTGCCTTCCAGATGGATAATTTATCTGTGTCGCAGGCCATTTTTCACCTTTCTCCTCCTGCTCCGACTTTGGATTTATTCCTGCCATCTCTTGCTTGGCTGGCACCTTCCTAATTCGTCAGCCCTCCTGGGTGATCTTTCCTGACTCCACCATCGCCGGTCAATAAACCCTGGGGGGGGGAGATATTCGGAGAGCCATTAGGGAGGGATGATTGAGTGACCCCTGGCTCCAGCTGTAGCACCGCACACACGGTCCTTTTGTCTGCCCAGGCCTTGCCAAAAAAAAAAAAGAGAGAGAGAGAGATGGATGAGATCCATCTGTAGGGGAGAACGGAGGGCCAGCGGGAGGGGTGGGATGGGGCGGGGCGGGCAGGTGAAATAAAAAAAGTGATGAAGAGGCACAGAAATACGTTTCTGGATCTTAAATATTGTAAGCTGTCCGGGGTGTATTTGTGTGTGTCCCATGTGTGAGTTGGGCTGCGATATAAATTTGTTTAATAAATGAAATAAATAAAAAGCGGAGCCTGATTCGGAGGCCGTGGGGATGAATTTTATTTTCTTGAAAACGCCCCCCCCCCCTGGGAAACAGGTGGCTGGAGGGTGAGGACACCTGGATGGAGGAGAGCAGAAACCTTGGCATGCCCTTCCCTTCCCTTCCCTTCCCTTCCCTTCCCTTCCCTTCCCTTTCCATTCTCCTTCCCTTCCCTTCCCTTCCCTTCCCTTCCCTTCCCTTCCCTTCTTTTCCCTCTCCTCTGTCCCTCTTTCTTTCTTTCTTTCTTTCTTTCTTTCTTTCTCTCCTTCCTTCCTTCCTTCCTTCCTTCCTTCCTTCCTTCCTTCCTTCCTTCCCTATCTTACCCTCCCTGGATTTTGGACATTAAACCTGGATAACACTTCCTTTTAATCAACTACATCTATCATCCCCTACTTTGCTCCCTTCCCTTCTCCTTTTCCCTTCCTCTCCTCTCCTCTCCTCTCCTCTCCTCTCCTTTCTCCTTTCCTTTCCTTCACATGCCTGCAGTTTGAGGCAGGATGGCGATTATGTTTTTCTGTTAACAGGACGAGCTCAAACTGGGGTCCTGTCTGAGGACAGGAGCCTCCCCAGAAGAGAGAAACCATTTCTCCTCTTGATTCAGCGTTCTCTGTTTCCTTCGAAATCTCCAGTCCTTCTGTGGCTGGATTCCAAATGCAATTTTGGCTCTCTTGGATGGAAAAATGGCCTGGCCATCCAAGCAAGAAAGGATGGATGGAGGAAGACGAAATCCAGGGCTGTGTATGCCGGAGTGCTGAAGTGTATGAAGAGCAGTTGCAGGAACTGGGGATGTCTAATGAAAAGAAGGACCAGGGGTGACATGATAGAAGTCTTCCAATATTTGAAGGGCTTCTACAAAGAAGAGGGAGTCAACCTATTCTTCAAAGCAATGAATGGAAATTTATCAAGGAGAGAAGCGATCTAGAACTAAGGAGGAATTTCCTGACAGTCAGAACAATTAATCAGTGGAAAAGCTTGCCTCCAGAAGTTGTGAATGCTCCAACACTGGAGGCTTTTAAGAAGAGACTGGAAACTATATCATTTGCCTGAAAGGGTGTAGGGTTTCCTGCCTTGAGCAGGGGGTTGGACTAGAAGACCTCCAAAGTTCCTTCCATCTCTGTTAGACATCAGAGTATAAACTGACAGAAAAGACCACTCCTTATTAGCACTGATGATGTTACCTAGTTGGGTCATAAAACGTTTACAAGAAAACAACCCAGCTCAGAGACCACCAAGGACCCCATATTCTTCCTCTTTCTCCTCCTCCTTCACTCTGCAAATCCCACTCCCTTCTAGCACTGATGATGTTCCCTAGTTGGGTCATAAAACGTCTACAAGAAAACAACCCAGCTCAGAGAGCACCAAGGACCCCATAATTCAACCCTGAGCTACAAATATTCTCCTTTATCTGTTATTCTGTGTTCTATATTCAGCCCAAATATCCACACTAGAACTGAGGGAGGGAAGGCGAAGCGGCAGGGAAGATGCTGGGAAAACCCACTTCCTTCTCTCGGATTTTGGAGATGCCCCCCCCCCCCACAAACCCCCTTGCACCATCCAGCGCTGGGCAGAAGGGGCAAGTGGGGTTGGTGGCTTCTCCCCCTTCCCCATGTCATCGCCTCCTTCTCGGCCCATGAATCTTCCTGCTGCCTCCCAGCTGCAAAGCGAGGTACAATTGGGGCGTGGGGGAGGGCGCTGCCAAGAAAGGCAGGGAATCCCCTTTTGGGGGGAAGACCCAGGCGGTCGGTGGCTGGCCTGGCAGGATGATGGGGAAGGGGATGATGGATGGGGATGAGGAAGGAGGGCGCTGCTGGCGGGGCGCGTGGGTGGCTGATGGATGATGGGGTGGGGGGGGAGTCGGAGGCGTCGCTTGTGTGCCCCGAGCGAGTGGGGGGGGGAGATAGAAAAGAGGCAGATGGATGGATGGGTGGATGGGGAGGGAGGAGGAAGAGGGAGGAGGGAGGGAGGGAGGGAGGGAGGGGTAAAGGAGTCCTTTGGCCAGTTCGCGGTGCGGGACAGACGGAGGGAGAGCTCCTGCACTTCGCCTCGCCTCGCCTCTCGTCCTGTCTTTGGTCCTGTCCTGCCTCGCCTCCGCCAGCCATGCCCAACTTCGCCGGGACCTGGAAGATGAAAAGCAGCGAGAATTTCGACGAACTCCTGAAAGTCCTGGGTAAGGCGCGGAGGGGAAAAGGATGGATGGTAGCCAGCGAGGAAGGCTCGGGTTTCCAAGGCTTATCCAAGGCGCTAGGCATCAAGGCGGCGGCTGGAAGAAACCCCGGCCAATTACACACACACACACACACACACCAGCCGTGTTGGTTTACTCGCGAGTCAGCCGGGAGGGAGGGAGAGAGGGAAGGCAGGAAGGAAGGAAGGAAGGAAGGAAGGAAGGAAGGAAGGAAGGAAGGAAGGAAGGAAGGAAGGAAGGAAGGAGGGAGGACGGAGGCAGCCACACAGTTCTTGGAGAGGAAGCGCACTTGGCGCTGGCAGGGAAGAGGAGGAGGAGGAGGAGGAGGAGGAGGAGGAGGAGGAGGAGGAGGAGGAGGAGGAGGAGGAGGAGGAGGCAGAAGAAGCGAGTCCAAGGCGCGTGAGAACGGGGCCAGAGGACTTTCTGGAGGGGTATCCTCGCGGCTGGAGCCGGGCTCGGAGCGCTGCTCTTCCGTGGCCCCGCTGTGCTTCCCTATCCTGAAGAAGAGGCTTTAGGCATGAAGGGGAAGGGAACCCAGGTTTCCTCTGGCCAAGGGAGGGGAGGGGGCACTTGAGAGCAGGGAGACTTCACCTGCTTAGATCCCCCTTGTCATTGGGGCAGCTCTTGAGGTCCCAGGTCCCCCTACCCACCCAACACCAGGGCTGGGTGTGTATGTCATCCGTGGGGGAAGCAAGCTGCGTGGAAATTGGACCTTTGGGTAAGGTCAGTCCATCCTGGCGCCCACAGGGCTCCCTGTCCTGTTAACGCCCCCGCCCATGTCTACCCAGGAGTGAACGCCATGCTGCGCAAAGTGGCGGTGGCCGCCGCCTCGAAGCCCCACGTGGAGATCCGCCAGGACGGGGACCAGTTCTACATCAAGACCTCCACCACCGTCCGCACCATGGAGATCAGCTTCAAAGTAGGGGAGAGCTTTGACGAGGAGACGGTCGATGGAAGGAAGTGCAGGGTAAGACCTTCCAGGACATTCAAGGGAGGGTGGGGTCTTGGGGCTTCTTCTTCTTCTTCTTCTTCTTCTTCTTCTTCTTCTTCTTCTTCT